ATACATCAAGTTAAAAAAGTGGTACGAATCATAGAAGCGACGTTGGGTGGTTCACTAGTAATTTTTTTATGGAAAATATAGAAATATTACCCAAATTAATTTATGTCTATTCAAAAGAAGACATTCAAATCTATATTATGTAAAAAAATCAAATTTGTCCGAAGCAGGGATAGCGCTCAATTAGAGTGATGAACTTCGTTCTCCAAACCGAGAATCATCCTTTGATTATCAATATTAATGTAGGCTATTAAGCACAGTGACCTGCAGAGGGCGCTAATCACAAACAAGTACTGCACGAACCGATAAATTCCCGGGTATTGTAACGCCCTTGATTAGATCTTGGAAATATGGATATCATCCTATTCCTAGGGATATTCCCCATATCATCTGTACAGGTGAATAACGACCTAATACCATGGTCAAGAGTAATATCTACCTCACAAAATTCTCTGTTGGATTAGGAAAAATGAATGAATCCTGAAAATATTAACCTTACATGTATATAATTGTTAAAACATAGGAAATGATTACTACAAATAACATTAAAACACTGGAAGTCCCTTTAGGACTGATATCGGGTTGATATACATATCCTGCGAATCCCAATATCCATCATGATCCCAAATATGTGATTTATCACACGCTTTCATGTAACTGATTTTGCTATGACCATGATAGAAGGCAAGGCACTATACAGGGTGGGCCAAAAAATTGGAACATTTTCCCATCCATTGTAACTTTATAACGCAAGGTTTTGAACATCTCCTCCACCATCTGAACAATCGGTCTGAGCTGTATTAGTGACAGTCATACATGGCTTTAATGATAGGTTTGGAAATATTTCATGATACACGCAGATAATGTCCATGACACTGTATATACCCATAGGACATTAAGAATTAAGATTAAATGCCATTGGCATTATTTTTGAGAGAAAATGCCTTCTCATGAGGGCCCTCTTTTAGCCATTTGTTCATATAAGAATTTTTGTTACTAAAGACCATGAATTACAGGTTTTGCTAAATCAAACCTCTCGTATAATTTCTTACTGAATTATTTTTACTTCAATTTTATTTCAAGAGCTACCCTATTTTAAATATAAGAATGTCTGCATAAAATATCAGTGTTTGTTTAAATATGAGGTTCAGTGATTTTAGAAAAGCATCTGGTTAAGAAACATAAAATAAAAAAAAACATGGCACAATAACAGTAACAAAAACTAAAGAATTTAATTACCAAAATAGTACATGACAAAAAATACAAAATTTAGGTCAAGATAAAATTTCATTATATGGTACCTAACAAAAATAAAGGATTGAGATCAAGATCATTTGAAACTTTCAAAATATTGTACATGACAAAAAAATAAAGAATTAAGATCGAGATAATAATAAATTGACAGTGTTATTGATTAATTTGGCATACATTGTGTATTTTCTTATTTTTACCCTTGAATAATAGCTATGATTAAATATATTGTATAAAATGTATAGATATGTGTTTGTAATCACTGCAAATTGGAATGTCATTCTTGTTTATGACCATAAAATGTATACATTTCTCAGCAAACAAGTTTGTGTTTTTCTTGAGTTTGTGTTTGTTTTCCTTGTACCCTTATATGATTTGGACGCAAAACAAAGAATCTACTTCTTATGGCCTAATATATATCTTCATACTGAACAAAAACAAGTTCTTATATAAATGTACAATTTATTTATATATACAACAGCTTCTACTTCAGTTTACATGTACATATACATGAAGTTACAAGTGTTAATGCACCGAAATATTGAAACTTTGCCTCTTTACATGAACTAAGTGAAGAATTTGAGTTTTTATGGTTAATGGCCAGGTTATCCTCAACCCCCAACGGAACAAACTTTTCGCAGAGCTTGCAAAATTCAATGTGTTTGATTATTTCAAGCAAATGAATATGACAAACAAAGTTAAATTACTTCTGTTTGGAGATTCTAATAAAATGAATTTCAAAACAAATGAATCTCTGGCACACGCAATTTCAGATTTTATAGAATCATCAAACAGAGGTTGATCAGACTTTGTTTAAACATTCTTTACATGTCCTAGTGTCACCTTCACCATCATCATTTCATTCTTCATACTCATTCATTTTATCACATCTTTTTTAAATTCTTTTTTACATTTATTTTCCAATCAAGTTATTGCCTGTATGTATTTTATCTATTTGTGAATATGTCTGTAATGCCTCAGGGCGATTGACATTATTACACTTTGTTAATTGTAATATACTATTTATGCAATAAATACTATTAAAAAAAAAAATCCTCAACCTTGTATCATCATGAGGCATTCGATTATTTTGTATTTTCAAAACTGAGGTACAACAATACACATTTGCTGATATAGATTAAAATGCTGAACCAAAGTTAATATGATATAATTCTAAATTACAATTGGTGACATGCAAATTACAGAATTCAATGATTACAGTGCTAGTGACTCAAACAGACATTCTTCTTTTCAGAAAGGATTCATTCACATTTCAATATGGCATCTTTGGATACATGTTTTTGCATATTTTGTATTGCACACAGGTATATTAACTTCATAACAAGTCAAATCTAAATCCAGTTATAGGTCTACAAGTAGCTTACTGTTTAAGCTTACAATTTCTGCAAAATATCACCAGAAAATATTTGAATCGTAATTTACAGAGAATTAACACATTTTTGTTTTGCACTCAAGGACAGTTTTCACTTCAGTACAGTGCATAATATTCCATAAAAGCATATCCATCCATATTAAAGTTGCCATGGTATTCAAGGCAGAAAAGCCATTACAGTAAAACTATATAATATATTTCTTAATGTAAACACTTTTCAGTCCCATTTATTAAATGAAATTGAATCTGCCATAGATTTCTAATCTATGTTAAAAAACCTGCCAATTCAAAAACTTTCAGCCACAGCCCCAGTTAGGTTTGGATTAGACAGGTTTTACAGTGGTATAGCTCTAGATAAGATAAGATTAGACAGGTTTTACTGTGGTATATTACCATGGGCGTAGCGCCACGAAATTGTCTTAATATATGACTGAAATCGGGAAGACAAAATTTGACATTCACAAACAAAATTGCTTGTGAAAACTATTTACAAAAGTGTTCCAGAGACTCTAATCTACTTGGCTAAGGTTTTATTTGAAGATACATTGCCTTATTAAGCAGGTAGAGGGGCATACAGAACACAGAAGCAAATGCTATGTTGAAAATTTTCTATATTTCAGTTTGAACATGTTATTGCATGTCACGTAGTCGAGTGTTTTATATGGGGATTATATGTACTTTTCTTGTTTACATGAAAGTGAATCATAACATGAAGTCTGCAGTCTTTCGGGTTTTATCTGGGTAAATTGTATGTCTTATTGGGGCTTTTCGACTTTAAAACAAATCTTACTTAAATGGATTTGTGTCTCGTGAACATTTTTGTAAATAGTTGTCATAAACAATTCTGAAAGAATATCACATAATTTATGTCTTTCCGACTTCAGTCATGAATTCCGTCAATTTTGCGTGCAAATTTTGGTAGACGTTGTCATTACCGGATGCCCAAACGTGTCGAATGATGTTGATTGGACATCAGGGTGCTGAGAAATCATAATTTTACTGAGTGGCTTCACGAAATCATCTCAATGTTTACACCTCATATATAAGTATTCAACTAGTACTGCCGAGATGTGATTATGCATTACTATATTTACCATTACTTTTACTATTATTTCTTAATTACTTTGAGTTCTATGAAATTATGATCCACTGTCTTTAACTGTCAAAAATGAATGTTTATTTTTAGCTTAATTAATTTAATGTAGGCTTAGTCAGTTTAGTTTGTATGGAATATAATGTTTGTAAAACGTGCGGCACAATGAAGTTATATTGGTGCCCCTTTCAATTTTCCTATAACTAAACCTGGCTTTTTAATCGCCACCTAATAAAATTAGTTATGCAAAAAATGACATATTGGCATTTGACTCAAAGGCTTACATATCTTTAATATTTTACTGCTGAGATTTGATAGATGTTTGGACCAAAATATCTCTGTAACACAGATCATGCATACAGGATATTGGTGTTGTGAAATATGGTGACATGACAGGTTTATTTAAGTCAATTTCATCAAAAATTAAGCCAGCAAAATTCCTAAGCTACCAGTATTTGAGTTATGCCTTGGATAGACAACTGGACTGATGGATGTATAGCTTCATTATATTCCTATCAGTACCGAACTTCATTCGTTGACATAATAAAAGGCGTCTAATGATCATGTGGTTGTCATACTAATACCAGCTCATCAATTTTATATTCACATACATTATAAATACAACCACATAATTATACATAGAAAAACATCAATACTATGGAACCATTAAATTAAAATACAATGTATTCAAGTAAAGCTTGCTATAATATTCATGAAGAAAATATTACAAATAATATTTAAAAGATGTTATTCCTGTAAAGTTCACAGATTGACCTACTATATGTTCTTAATTTCAGAGCATATCTGATATCATATAATAATTACAATACAAAAGTTCACATATGAAATCAAAATACAAACAGTGGTGGTTGGTTGGATGATGACATTCAAATTTTGAATTGACATGACCTGTATCAGACATGACCAATACCCAAACAACCTCAAATAAAAACAAAAATAAAAAAGCAATGTAGCAGCTTTGTTCAATTCCATGTATACAAGAAGTGTTACACTGTTGCAGTTTGTACTGATTGCTATGAATTAGATTTACCAACCAACCCCCTATTGTATATTGCTTGAGAGTGAACTCTCAGAAAAGAGGGGGTGTGATTATCTCGATTTGATTTGAAATCTAGTGGAGGTAAACCATGTAGTAAGTTCTCTACATAAAATATCACGTCTCCCAGTTGTCTGCAGGTTGACATGATGAATTCTGCAAGTGAAATTAGTGAATTCCACAAATAAAAAGGCAAATTGACCTCTCAATGTACTAGATATTAGAAAAAGTTGACAAAAAAGTTGAAGTCAGTCTTGAATAACATAATAATTCATGAAAGTTGACACATGCTGCCATCTAATGGTTAAATCAACAGACAACAAATTAAAATAATTTAATTTGGCTATGTATGATGTATGGGCTAATTATAACAGAGTACAAATGCAGAATTTAGCCATAACAGACCATCTGTCAATTTACAATTCTGCGAATCTGACATGGCATATTCTATTCTGAGCCAGCTCGGCAAAGACAGACATAAAACTGTGGAAAGTGAAATATAGAGGTGAGCAGATAAGGTTCTCTTTATTTTTATATTTTTGTTCAGTATAATCTTATATATTAAAGTTCTCTTTGCTACATATACAAGTTCTCATTCTTACATATACACCTGTATAACTGGCTCATTATAACCTTGCTTCAGTTTGGTATACAGTACAGCTCAAAACTAACCTCACAACTTCTTTAATATTATAAATAAATGTAAAGCTACAGTCTACTGCATTAAAGGTCAACTTTGACCAGTACTGCACTTCAATGTGGTGGTAAAGTGTTGTTTTCCGAATAAAAACAAATATATTATGAGGTTGTTTTCACTACAGAAAGAGTGAGAAATAGACCAAGTATTGACAATTTTGACTAAAAATAGCCAATTTCAACAAAAACCCAAATTTTCAAAAATAAAAAATGGTTCAAAAACACTTTTTAAAGGCCCCATGTAAATGAAATGATCAAAATTGCATTGGGCTTTTAAAGAAGTGTATCAATTGCAGCATTATCCTTGATATTCAGGGATGCATCCAGTTTATATACGTCTACCAAGTGCCAGTCTACTTGTATTCTCTCTGTGTATTTACAACATGGCAACATCTATCTAATGCAGCATATACTTCCGCATATCATATCAGTATTCAGGGTCACATGTCCATTGGGTCAAGTGATCTGGTGGGCTTTTTTGACTGGACTTCATTCCAGACTAATTCTGCAATTCAGAATTACAGATTATAATTTTATTATCAAACATTGATTAAGGAATAAATAATGATTGGCCATTCAAGGTGAAATTCAGCATGAGTTGAACAGTATGTCGTACAAAGTTACAAAGTCTTACAAATTATTTGTACTGACATTGTTCAAAGTGTGGAATTTCACCATATTGATTATTTAGTCCAATTCAAACTTAAAAACAAGGCATTAACATGACAAAATGTCACCACCTAGTTGCTCACAATATTAAGTCAGATTTGAATTTCTGAGAACTTGTAAAGTCAAATTTGAACTTCTGAAAAGATGTAGATAATTTTGAAAAAAAAATTTGGTCAATTTGAAGCAAGTTGAAAACAGACCTTTTTGACCTTTTTTGACCTTGAGAAGGTCATTAAAGGTCAAATGTCAAATCTAAAGTCAGATTTGAATTTCTGAGAACATGTAGATGATTTTGAAAAAAAAAATTAGTCAATTTGAAGCAAGTTGAAAAAAGACCTTTTTGACCTTTTTAGACCTTGAGAAGGTCATTGAAGGTCAAATGTCAAATCTAAAGTCAAATCTAAAGTCATATTTGAATTTCTGAGAACATGTAGATGATTTTGAAAAAAAATTTAGTCAATTTGAAGCAAGATGAAAAAATACCCTTTTGACCTTTTTTGACATTGAGAAGGTCATTGAAGGTCAAATGTCAAATCTTAAGTCATATTTGAATTTCTGAGAACATGTAGATGATTTTGAAAAAAAAATTAGTAAATTTGAAGCAAGATGAAAAAATACCTTTTTGACCTTTTTTGACATTGAGAAGGTCATTGAAGGTCTAATGTCAAATCTAAAGTCAGATTTGAATTTCTGAGAACATGTAGATGATTTTGAAAAAAAAATTTAGTCAATTTGAAGCAAGTTGAAAAAAGACCTTTTTGACCTTTTTTGACTTTGAGAAGGTCATTGAAGGTCAAATGTCAAATCTTAAGTCAAATCTAAAGTCAGATTTGAATTTCTGAGAACACGTAGATGATTTTGAAAATTTTTTTTAGTCAATTTGAAGCAAGTTGAAAACAGACCTTTTTGACCTTTTTTGACCTTGAGAAGGTCATTGAAGGTCAAATGTCAAATCTTAAGTCAGATTTGAATTTCTGAGAACACGTAGATGATTTTGAAAAAAAAATTTAGTCAATTTGAAGCAAGTTGAAAACAGACCTTTTTGACCTTTTTTGACCTTGAGAAGGTCACTGAAGGTCAAATGTCAAATCTAAAGTCAAATTTGAATTTCTGAGAACATGTAGATGATTTTGAAAAAAAAATTTAGTCAAATTGAAGCAAGTTGAAAAAAGACCTTTTTGACCTTTTTTGACTTTGAGAAGGTCATTGAAGGTCAAATGTCAAATCTTAAGTCAAATCTAAAGTCAGATTTGAATTTCTGAGAACACATAGATGATTTTGAAAATTTTTTTTTTAGTCAATTTGAAGCAAGTTGAAAACAGACCTTTTTGACCTTTTTTGACCTTGACAAGGTCATTGAAGGTCAAATGTCAAATCTTAAGTCAAATCTTAAGTCAGATTTGAATTTCTGAGAACACGTAGATGATTTTGAAAAAAAAATTTAGTCAATTCGAAGCAAGTTGAAAACAGACCTTTTTTACCTTTTTTGACCTTGAGAAGGTCATTGAAGGTCAAATGTCAAATCTAAAGTCAGATTTGAAGGTCAAATGTCAAATCTAAAGTCAGATGTGAATTTCTGAGAACATGTAGATGATTTTGAAAAAAAATTTAGTCAATGTGAAGCAAGTTGAAAAAAGACCTTTTTGACCTTGAGAAGGTCATTGAAGGTCAAATGTCAAATCTAAAGTCAGATTTGAACTTCTGAGAACATGTAGATGATTTAGAAAAAAATTGAAGTCAGTCTAAACAGTATTTGTTAAGTTATAGGAAGTTGTAAGAAATTGTTACAGACGCCGGACGCCAACCGCCGGACGCCAACCGCCGGACGCCAACCGCCGGACGCCAACCGCCGGACGCCAACCACCAACCGCCGGACGCCGTCGAAAAAAAACGGAGACCATAACAATATGTCACCACTTTTGGTGGTGACATAATGAAGGAAAATATATTGTTTAAAGAATAGTGATACATATCCATGAAAGAACCACTGGCCACCCCCAGACAGCAGATGTCATATTCTATTCTGATGTGATGTGACGTCACAATGCAATGCAGATTCCCAGATGCATTACATGAGTCGTTCATCCATCAAGAATTAGACCAACTACTATATCTAGTATTCAGCATGGTCATGTTTGAATCTAGATTCGACAATAGTAAGCTAAAAATTAAACAAGTAAGCTGGCCAATCTCAAAGGCTTCATGGGCAGTGTGTTATGTTTAATCACCATGACAACATACCTCTCCACTCTGTAATGCTCAACTCTTTGTCCTCAAATGACTGATCGTATGGCTCAGATATGGGCTCATCAGTGGGATCTGAATATTGGCTGAGATATGGATGTGCTAAAGCCTGTTCTGCTGTAAATCTTGTCTCTGTATCTAGAGCTAGCATATGCTCCAGAAGATCTATGGCTGGATATAAAATAATGGTAAACATGTACTGTTAAAACATGTCTCATTGAAGCATGCAACTTTACAAGTTAAAGTGATTGATTCATGATCATAATCAATTCTACTTAATATTTCAGGATCAGGATGTGGTCCATTGATTAAATGGTAATGATTCTGTGAGTAAAAGATAAACCCTGTGCATTGTGTAAAATACATAATGTTGGGATATACAAACCTAAGGAGTTTTGTTTTGGAGTTTTCCCATAAAAGTATTCTGCGAAGTTCCGCTTCTTCATTTTTGGCAAGGATTCAATGTATGATCTTGCCTGAAAAATAATAATAGAGAACATAATTTAATACAGACTCTATTTTACTGCATTGTCGGTGGTACCATTTCTCCTGAAGTTTTTTTCTATTAAAATCAACATCTATTTTTTTCATTTATAACAAAGTACCAAAAATGCAAATACTGGTAGTAGAATCATGTGAATCATTTAAATCTATATAAACCTCACTTACTAAATCCCAAATGACATTCAAAACACTGTGCTCTCTAACACGTACCTCTTTACTGGTTATCTTAGCTAGAAGCCTCTCATCTGGTGTCCCAACCAACTTCATTATTTTGGTCAATTGATCAATATCTGATACGTGTTAAGGAATACCTTTCATTTTACAGTGTATTACATACCTAGCAGTACAGCTAATAAAAACCGAACTAAACCCTTAGACTTCAGTTATCAAAGATTACATTTTTAAGGAAAAATTGAAATTTGAAAATTCCTTCTTCAGACAGGGGTTTCATTAGCAGCAGGCAATTTTCACTGGTTGTTGTCACAAAATTGCCTGTTGTTTTTAGGGTCTTTTCAACTTTTCCATGTCAAAATGATTTCCATTAATATTGCCTGTTGTTTAGCCTGTTGTGAGAAATTCTACTGAAACCCCTGCCAGAGCAGAGGTCCTTTATCCATCAGGCAATTTATTGCTATTTTAGGCAAAATCTGAAAACTGGTAATACTTTTAAAAGATGAAAATGGTGGCCACATCGAATGGCCATCTTAAAATTCCTGAGCAGATATCCAATGTACCTAGGGCATCATTATACACAATTTGAACTTTAATCCGTAAAATAGTAAAAATGGTGGCCAAGTTAAACTGAGTTGCTACAGGGCCTATTGGAAATTTCTTCTCAAGCAGGAGTCATATGCTAATTAGACATTAGCCTGCAATTTTGACTCTGAAAGGACATTCAAAAAGACATGGATATCAGAATTAGACTTCATGGTGACATAATATTGTAACAAAATATTATATTAACTGCCGACAAGCTTATTAGTAGCAAGCATCACTATGTATACAATATGTTCTTTCAACTAATTAGTGCAAAACTGCATTACATAAATTTTTTCATGGGAGTAATTAACATGTAATTTTAAAAATTATAATGGCACCTTGAGTAATTTCTGCCAGCTGTAAAATAAATGCAACTATGATGTAATCAGGCACCTCACAATGTGACTCAAAATATGGTTACTATGATGATGCTGTTAAACAAGCCAGTAACATTTAAAGCAAACGTCGAATCATGCTCCAAAGGCCCCTTTGCCAGAATTGTAAATGTTTTTATGGCTGTATGCACTAATTATAGCCTTAAAGTCAACACTGTTCCCATTATAAATTTAGAGCAAAAATGGTGCACAGTTTCTGTGTTCTAATACGAGCTTTTGAGCTTATCAGGTTGTTGGGACTAAGACAAGAATTGACCAAATTCACAAACTCTTTCAAGCACTGCACAAATCAGAGTTCATTGTCCTTACATATCAATATTCATAAAAAGGGACGATATTTTTTGCTCAAGGATACGATCAGTGCCTGGGAAAAGTGTCTTTCCTGTAAGTAGTTCTGCCATAATGCAACCAACACTCCAAATATCCACTGCAAAATAATAAGTCGCAAAATTGACATGCGTATACAGTAAAACCTTAAGTCTTAGTGAAAGCCTCTATCCAGTGAACTACTGTCTCTAGTGAACACCATGAATACCTATTCCTGAACATACTCCATTAACTTCTACATCATTGTTAGTAGACACCAACCTGCAGTGAACACTTTTTGTGATTCCATGGGTGTTCACTTTACACAGGTTTTACTGGACACAATATTAAACTATAAAACAACAAACCTCCACAAATGTTGTTAACCCTTGTCATTTTAAATCTGAAAAGGGGTCAAGTCAAATCATGTAATTTTCTATATATTTTTCTCACTGCATAGTTTCCTTGAATGTTTTTCCATGGTTTATCAACAAATTGATAGTGAAAATGGAATAAGTTAGGGGAGACATCAAAAGTTCGATGTCGGATAGAAAACTAAATAAATCTAGTTAGGGGGGGAGGGGGTTCAAACCCATTTCAGTTTGCTATCCGACAAATTTCAACATTTCAAACTAGATTTATTTAGTTTCCGATCCGACATCGAACTTTTGATGCCTCCCCTTACTTTGTTTGACGGATATTGTTTTTGACCTAACCCCTTAAGCAAACAACATTAAGCTAATACAGTTAAGCATTTTAAATTAAAGATGATCAGTTTAAGGGGGATTTTCATCCGTGGTCTAGGATACTATCGCTACCAGGGAAAAGAGGGCGTCCTGTCAACATCTCAGCTAGGATGCAGCCAACTGACCAGATATCAACTATGGAAAATGACAAATACAGTAAAATCTGTCTACAGGGAACATAGATGGGACTCACTGAAAGTGTTCACATTGCTTTACGCCTCATACAGTTACTTTATCCTGAATATATGTAACTGGTAAGGAGTATCTGAGCATTCTGATTGGACAATTGTGATGATGTATATTCTGTATCATATGGTATGTGACTGATTTTTGTGTGATACAGTGGACAACACTATGAAGTCAATGGCAATGATGTGACATCACTGGTTATATCACTTTGTAACTGAAGACAACAGTATGACATCATATTATTTCACAAACAAGTATGAAGACAACGGTATGATGTCATATTATTTCACAAACAAGTACGAAGACAACGGTATGATGTCATATTATTTCACAGCAAAATTTCAAAACACGCAAAATATAATGCACTACTAACATCAAAATTACCAGGAGTACAGAGTACTGAACATAATCACAATTGACCAAATCAAAATGCTTATCAACTCCTAGACATCTGACAAAATCATCATCACACATTTCAGCTTATGTGATACAGGAAATATTCAGGAAATATATAAATATTATAAAGGTAACACTGTATCATCCACGAAAGCGAAGCTTGAGTTGTGATACATTGTTACCAGAGTATGGGACCCCCTGAGTCGACATATACCAATCTCCCCATTGTATGTGTCATATATCATTTTAAAGCATATCCAAAGTTACATTTTTCTTTTTCTTTTGTGAAAAGTTTTAGTATTAAGGTAGTTGCCTAGCTATGCCCCTGATTGTTGACACTGTTCAATTCCAAATGAGAAAGATAAAGGATAAGAACGGAAGCTGTAATAATTGCATTTATTTTCTACTTGTTCAGCATGGTACCCTTTGTGTGACAAAAAGTGAAATCAGTAATCAATAGGCAGTTAATGCATATCTGTGGTCAACTTTATATAATCTACGTCAATATAAGATTTGCAAACCTGTTTGATTATAATGCATCCAGTTCAACATGATCTCAGGTGCTCTGTACCATCGTGTTGCAACGTAACCTGTCATCTCATCATCCGCCTGGCGAGCCAATCCAAAGTCAAGGATCTAGAATTCAAAAAGTTCATCTTTAATAAGTTTACAAACTTCAACTAGTCTATAAAACATTAATTTCAGGTAAGCTCTGAGTGTCTCATTGTGAACATTCAATTATTTTTTTGGAATTAATAAGTAAAATTGTAAAGAAAGTGTGAGTTATTCATTCAAAAGAGATACTATAAGTTATTGAATGATTTGGAGTGCAATTCAGGATATATTGTGCTCAAGAAATTCTGTATTGGCACAAGACGATGTTGAATTTCAATAGAGAATACCAAGAGCAGAATGTATCCTGTATTGCACTTCAAATTTTTCTATAACATTTTTATCATGTGACCTCAAGCCATTACAGTTTACTTATATTAGGATATAATCCCTAGGAAATATTCTGACTTGCTCTAAAACCGTTAATTCAATTTAGACACTTTTATTTCATGGATGAAATATAATCTACATGACATTTATAATGGTTTCTCAGAGGAATGACTTGTATTGGTACGGGATTGATCATCTTCATTGCAATACAAAACTAGACAACAGCAACGCCAAAGCGTAGCAAATCCCATCAAACAGCCATGGCTGGCATTTTTACAAACAAAGTATATAACAAAAATGGCAGCCATTTTTCAAAATAGCCACCTTCTACCAAAAGTGTCATGAGACAGTGTACCATGCTTATTGTATTCATATACCAAATATGAACAAAATCGCTCCACTACTTTTCGAGTTACAGCATAAAGCGTAAAATAACGAGTTAAGGCCACCATTTTTCAAGATGGCTGCCATGTGCGTCTTTAATCTCTACATTTCTAGCTTTATTAATGTCCTATATAATTTTTTTACATTTAAAACATATTGCTATAACAGTTTTACATATTGCAACTAAATTACTGTAAAATCGGCACTAAAATGGCCGCCATTTTTAAATGAGCGGCCATTTTGAAAATCGGCTTCCGAACAGAATTTCTACCCCCATAGGGTATATGTGTACAAAATATGAACAAAATCGGGCCAACGGTATTTGAGTTATTGCCCCAGCAGACGGGCGGACGGACGTATGTACGGACGGACGTCTTGTAATATACAGATACACTGTCCCACATGTTTTGTTAAAGAGCAACTGAAGCATACAATCTTTCCACCAAGATAAATTCAGACCAACATTTGGATATCTACATCATATAGGTAGATTATAATTGATTTTATTTACTTGTCATATCCAGTATTTCGGACAGATGGGAGGACGGAGGTATTCCCGATATCCCTCCGAACTTCGTTTAGGAAACACTCTCAGTAGCAATAGAGATTGGAACAGCATACAATAAAAAATAAATGATCTGTAAAATGAAGCCCTGAATGGTCAGTTCTTGTGCTGTACCAATCTATATTGCTACTGAGATTGCCCCCACTGATCATCTCCATAGCAATACAGAAAATATTGGTCTGGAGGGGACAATCTCAGTAACAATACAGAGAATACAGAATATTTCAAAGGGATTATCTCCTAAGTAAAATGTATTGGCTTAAGATCTAACTTCGTTTCATTCCAATACAGAATTTTCCAAGCATAATATATCCTGTATTGCACTTCAAATAATTCAATAACTTATAGTGCTGTGCTATGGGTTGCAATATACATTCACAAGATTAGCATGAGTAAATCCAAGTTGAAAACTTTATTGCAGGTGTAGCCAATGAGACATTGTCCCATTTTTCAACTCTCCTGCTTCTCATCAAAATCTAATAAGACTAATATAAAGAATACATAGCCCATGATTAATAACTCTTTTATCATTACTATTTAAAAACTTACCCTTAACTCACAGTCTTCATTTACTGCTATATTACTTGGTTTTAAATCCTGGAAATTAAAAGGGATACACTTGTACACTGAATAATAATAATAATAAATTATATTTTATTTCTTTATTTTGAATTATAAATTTCATTATATTTGACAAATAGATGCCTGTCAATATGTAAATACTACGTATGTATATACACTATGTACTAAATCCGTGAACAATTACATTTGGCCAATGAAAGGTAGCATGTAAGAAATAAATTGAATATGAGGGGAAAGTTGATTTCAAATGGTAAAAGTGGAATGTGATGAATATGGGTTCCTTGGGAATATGGAATATGCATAACAACTTCAAAAAGAAATGTCACGGGCATAATTATGAAGTATGAAATACTGCCAACCTTGTCACAGTCCCAATCTTGTCAATAATAATATAATATACAATCTAATAATAAGATCTGTAGCTCTGTATTCACAGATGATAATAACTTTTGTTCTTGGCAATATTTTGAGTTATTTCAACAGGAAAACAGACACAATATTTCTTATCAAATAAGATTTCAGATAAGTTGATTAATGCCAAGAACTTATTGTGAACTTACCCTGTGTATTATGCCTGCAGAATGGACATACTGAAATTAAAAAAGTGTACATAAATGTATTATCAATAGATTAATGGAGAGGAAATAAAATAATTGTTATCATAAAATTTTTATTTATGTTGTTATTAGTTAACATTAATCTATCTTATGAAGTACAAACAAACAAGGATGGCTCAATAAATACTAAGTACACATATTCTCACATACATGTTCATATCATAATAGATTAATGAAGATAATTAATGCTTATACAGATGATCACCATGTTAAATTCTTCTTTAATATTTTGAAGTGCGACTTGAATCTGTAGGATGCATTCAAATAACCATGGCTATTCTATGCCTACTGACTGCAGCTATCTTGTACCAGCACCATACCTAGATGTTATTAGGGGATTCCCTTTCCAAACCCAAATTGCCATCTTGAAAAATTCTCAACGAAAAACGATAATGTCCTCGTTCTGCCGATAAACCAATACTCACGGAGATTCAACAACACAAAAAGAATCCCCGGGAATTTATTGAGGCACATTATTGGTTAAAGCTGGTGCCAATAATTGTCAGCTTTTGAAAAAAATAAGGGCTGTTCCAGGGTTCTTCACGACCATACTTCAGGGTGGGCGTGGCACATCAAGAAGACTGCAGATCTTCGTGACTCCTTGATTTTAAATTTTTACTGCGATATTTGAATTTGAGCTAGTCAGAAATAATTGAAACAGTATAGGCCTAGGAGGGACAATTGTTTTTACAACAAGAGCCTGCTCCAGCTATATTCAAAAAGTACCCCAAAAATTAATTGTGTTCCATTTTTCGTACTTGGGTATAAAGTACTCAAAATTACTAAGGCCTAGCACCATCACTGAATTGTACAAAACATTCTAAAATAAAAATTGGCAAGAACTCCCAGAAGCTATTGGCGTGGACCCAAAATAAATAAATGAGCAAATTAAATAAGCAATTACAGCTATATTGCAATTTGAAAGGTAATATGTGGGTTCAGATAACTTGAACAGAATGTGAAATTGACATGCATCATCACTACAACAATTAGAAAAAATTCTAAACAAGACACACAGTGATAAATATCGCACTTTGAAGAGCAAACTGGCCACCATGCAATTTACCCAGCATGGCCAAAACCTAATCAGACCTTGGCACTAGTCTGCTCTTGCATCTGTAAACATTTCAAGTTGACAAGGTTAGCAGTTTTCCTGCAATTTTGATGACAAGAATTTATTTGTAGTCTTGAACTTTGGGAAAATTTAGATAACATTGTTTGTGACCTAATTTGATGACCTTCGACCTTGAAAATTTCACTTTTTCAGACCTCAGTAGGTCTTTTGTAATTAGCTGACCTAAATTTAAATCCAAAATATCAATTTAGAAAATCAAATTTTTGACCTTTTCAAGGCCAATGAAGGTCAACGAAAGGTCAAATCTGAAATCTAAGGTCAGATTTGAACTTCTGAGAACTTGTAGATGTTTTTTAAAAAAAAAATTGGTCAATTTGGAGCAAGTTGAAAAATTCAAAATGGCCGCCAAATTGAAAAATTCAAAATGGCCACCGTGTAATTCAGCCAGCATACCCAAAACCTAATCAGATCTTGGCAATAGTCTGTTCTTGCATCTGTAAAAATTTCAAGTTAAACGGATAAGTGGTTTTCCTGGAATTTTGATGACAAGATTTGTTGAAAAATTCAAAATGGCCACCACGTAGTTTACCCAGCATGCCCTTAACCTAATCAGATCTTGGCACTAGTCTGCTATTGCATGTGTAAAAATTTCAAGTTGAACAGGTTAGCGGTTTTCTTGGAATTTTGATGACAAGAATTGATTTGTAGTCTCAAACTTTGAGAAACTTGGATAACATCATTTGTGACCTAGTTTAATGACCTTGACTTTCGACCTTGAAAATTTCACTTTTTCAGACCTCAGTAGGTGTTTTGTAATTAAGCTGACCTAAATATAAATCCAAAATATCAATTTAGAAAATCAACTTTTTTGACCTTTTCAAGGTCACTAAGGGTGAATGAAAGGTCAAATCTGAAATCTAAGGTCAGATTTGAACTTCTGAGAACTTGTAGATGTTTTTAAAAAAAAAATTTGGTCAATTTGGAGCAAGTTGAAAAATTCAAAATGGCCGCCAAATTCAAAAATTCAAAATGGCCACCATGTAATTCAGCCAGCATACCCAAAACCTAATCAGATCTTGGCAATAGTCTGCTCTTGCATCTGTAAAAATTTCAAGTTGAACGGATAAGTGGTTTTCCTGGAATTTTGATGACAAGATTTGTTGAAAAATTCAAAATGGCCGCCACATAGTTTACCCAGCATGCCCTTAACCTATTAAGATCTTGGTACTAGTCTGCTCTTGCATCTGTAAAAATTTCAAGTTGAACAGGTAAGCAGTTATCCTGGAAATTTGATGACAAGATTTGGTTTATGTCCTGCCCGCCCGCACGCCCGCCCAACAGCACAAGACGACGACAATATAGCACTTTTTCAAAGTGCGATAAAAACAGTTGAACTTCATGTGCTCATAATATAACCTTATGATCTGTTGTCAATCAAAAAGCTTTACTATATGTTCAACAGGGATTTCATGGCAAAATGCAGAACAATTGAAATTAATAAGCAAAAATTATAAGAAATTATATTTTTAATATTGAAACAGTTGCAAATTTCCTCAACAAGGAAACTATTTTGGTTAAAACAAGCAGATAAAAAACATCTCTTATCCTTGCTTATGAAAGCCCTGTTCAAGCAACATACCCCATGTCCCTTAATTAAATGTTGCGATCTACTCTACCTTTAGGCCTCTAAGCAATTCATATATAAGAAACTTGACATGGTCATCACTAAGCTTCTGGGTTTTGATTATGTTGTTAAGGTCTGTTGCCATTAAAGTAGTGACCAGGTAGCTAGAATACAGAGGATACATGCAGAAATGGAACAGAAGGAGGATTAAACAAGATACAGGGTGACCCACATAAAGTACCATGATGGCAGTCATATTTACCAGGCAGCTACAATGTAAAGACTGACAGAACTAATGTACACTAAATTACAAATGATTCCTTACACCATATTTTCCTTTTTTATTCTAAACTTTAAGCAATTTTTGGCATTAAAATCACAAACTTTTTGATTTCCATTTTACAGACTTCAGTATATGGTAGTTCAGAAAACATTCCAGTCATGTTAGGTATTGATTGAATCTTAATGGTCAGTCTCTCATTTCATACCTGGGAAAATGACAACCAAAAAGCCATGCAGAACTACAGGGTGGTGTAACTATATGGTATAACACATATTCAGATACAGGGTGACCCAGTTTAACAGTAACTCTTTCTGAACATTTCTGAGAGTCAAATTAATTGCAAAAATGATCTGAGTCAAACATCTTCTCCCATATGCAGCATAAACCATAACTATACCCATGGTCCTTGTGGGAAGCTCATTTCACATGTATACGAGTATACACATGTATTACATACCATGGTAAACACATAGAATGTTAATACTAAATTTATGCAACACATGTCACACATACACATTTGCCAATATTGTTACATATTAATTTGGGTATCAGACATTAATCCAAAAATATCCAAAGTCACCAACACAGCTGTCAGTTCAACTGCAGTATAGGTTCAGATCATTAAGTACATATCATTGACAGACATTTTTTGTTGTTCAGTGTAATAGTTTACTAATAAATATCTTTGCAAAAAAGCAATTATCTAAATTTTAGAGAGTTAATATTTACAGTTGAACAATAAAATGTGCTAATATGCATGAGCAATTTCAAATGAGAATGTTAGAAAGATATCTTGATCTAGGCCACCCTGTATATTATACAAAATGCTGCAACATTCCTACCTTTAACCCTCTTAATATTTGATAGGTTAAGAATTGTACATGGTCGTCGCTAAGTTTCTGGGTTCTAACAATATTGTTGAGATCTGCTCCCATTAAATGTGTGGTAAGATAACTAAAACATAACCAAACCAAATACATGCACAAGGAGTCGCAATACAATTCCTAATATTTGCTTATTCCTGTTTCTACACTTTCACATTGAGGTTTTCCACTTGCATTGGAGTACCCATAAGGAACCCAAGTTAGGTTTCTGTTCATAATGTTGCAGAGTAAACCAAACTTTACCTTTGGGGCTATTTCATAGAAAATGCGTTTATTAACAACCCCAAGGGCACCATAGTCAGAAAACTTCACTCACTGCATTCAAGTTTGCCTCCAAAGACAAATCCTGCATGTTTTGTAAAATGGCCATAAAATAGTGACCATTTGCAATAGACCAATGAAACATGGCTGAATGTAAGAACATTGAACAAGGTATCATTTTGCCAATATGACTTCAAACCAATATTGCATGACTGTCCTGAGTTTTTAAGATTTGTTTGGGTTACTCTTTTGGCTCACACTGTAGTTCAGGTGAAATAATTGTTTAGATAGTTAAAATGTGTAAAACTGTCCATATACATGTTATTGGAACATTATTCATGTTACCATATATAGAGGTTATGTCACGATGATGTGAAATATGCCTGAGTTCTCCCAATATAGGCCGACCTTGGGAGGCTCTATATTTGGGCAAGAATGAATGATCTCACTATGTTTTTTTCTCAACAGGATGAAAAGATCCAAATTTTAGCTATAAATGTCAAAATATCTCAATACTTCTTCATTTTGACAGGGTACAAACTGATTTTCAACAGAGCGGCGTATGAGTTTTGAATTTTCAACCAGGGTGATATACCCAGAATATGATGCTCAAATGCTGAGGTGATTACTGCTTCATATATGACTCCTAACTTCAGTATTCAATGTTCACATATCCACAGTCATTCTTTCCTACAATTGTTGGTTATCATGCTTTAAGAGTGTTTTTAAATTCAGCTTTCAAACCAAATACCAATTATTCTAAAAGCCAACCATGCATCAAGCCATTATAAATTCATCCATTTCAGGGGTCTTCCCAAACTCTCCAATCAGATACCTTGAGACCCCTAAGAATCTGGTAAACAAGAAATTGAACGTGATCATTGCTTAGTTTCTGTGTCCTCACTATTGTGTTCAGGTCTGCTCCAAGAAGATGTGTTACCATGTAACTGTCAAATGAATAGTATAATATACACAAAATACAGGGTGTTCAATAAATAAACACATCCCACTGAACAAAACATGTTTTGATAAATAATGGTCATCTTGAAAAATGGACAAACAAATGGACAAATGAACGGACAAACCAATGGACTGCTTCTCTATATCCCTACACAAACTCCATTCGGTGGGATCATAAATAACACAATAGTAGTACTAATGCACAATTATAGGGTGTTAAACATAGAATAGATCTGTTATTATATTATTTATTTGAAGTATTATAATGTTTTGCAAAAGAATGAGTCTTCTAAGATCAAATATTGACTATTTACGTCTAACAAAGAGAATATATTTGTCAGAACTAGATGAATGAAAAGTATCTGTCGTCCAAATTTAACTATATTGAATGACTTTCATTACATATTCCTTAACCTGCACATCCCTTTAAAACTCAATCTTTGGTTGGGTTGTTCGGAGGTTGCCTACTTGCCAGGGTAATGAATGAGGTTCGAATGCCCTGACGAATTTTTTATTTTTCTAACTACTTGTACTTACATTAAATGGTTGTGCTTTGATATTAGTGTACGCACATAAAACAGTTTGTAACCACGTCAACTTTATATTTGAGCATTAATAATCTTGTTGGTTGTATGAACTGTAAAAATAATATTCCATATTCTCTGTAATTAGAGCCCAGGTCACTTAGAGAATTGAAAATACATCCTTCAGACCATTCTAATAAGCGCCCATATGTACTATAAGAAGTCAAAAATTCCCGGTAATTTCATGTATGGCAATTTTTCTTGCCAAAAATGCCTTATTAGCAATATCAAATCATATTTTTACAATAATATTGTATCGTAATTAGAGAGATTACAGTAAAGATCCCTAAAATAAAACAAGGATCTTGCAAGAATCTACTACACAATATTGACATTGATTGAGGAAATCCACAGCAGAGCCCCTTGAATTGAAGGCATTGTTTTTCCAGATTATCTTCAATATTTCCACTAGAGACTGTTGGATAACCTATCTAAAGATAGACCTTATCATTTTAAATTGATGACAGATCATAGTTTTTCATGTAAAAGTCGAGAAATATCAAATAAAAAGAAACGACCTTTTGAGCAGAAGCTTTCTTGGATAAATGATGAAACAAAATTCTGAAACTTGATCATTTCCTCTATTCATTATGGACTTTTGTGATAATACACTGTATTAGCTTAGTGTGATGTGGGAAGCACCAAATGATATACATATTTATTGGGAGGATGCATCATATCACAAAATGCATCACGTTTACAGCAGTTTAGTGTAAGTACTTTATTATCACCCATTTGATCCATCAGAATTCTCATATTATAGGAATATTCACTATTCCTTGGTCATTTCTCAATATTTCTTGAACTTTGTGAAGCAGGGTAGGCACTTATCAGGGGGGTGGATGTTAAATATGGCGATTACGGTATGTCCACTTATTGCGTTTTAAAGCAATGTGCAGGTTTAAATAATGTAGACTGCCTACTGAATAGTCTTTCATGTCTAAAAAATGGCTATGCTTGATTAGCTGAGAAACTATTTTATACCTTGGTTAAGTTTGAATTGATTTTGAAAATATAGATTAAACAACAAAATTGATACTTACACGTCATTAAAATCTTCTAGCCTTACAGCTGGGGTAAATATATCTAAGAGACCAATTATCTGAAATGTTGAAGAAAATTGGTTTTAAAACAATGCATTTGTAATTATGTAATCATATTAAGGGGGGGGGAGGTGATTTGACTAAAGCAGGAAAACCCTACAAATACTGTATATGGGCTTCATTCTCTGAGGGAGATACTATGGATACATGATTTTCCATGTGTTCTTTTATCTCTAAGGGAGCATTCAAAAGATCGATGTCGGAAAATAAACTGTATTGGAACAGTCTTATGGGGAGGGGGTCATTAGCCTTAAAAGTTAGCTTATGGACATCAAGAATTTTTTTTTTCTGAGAACTCTGTATATGAATTAGAAAAAAATTGGTCAATTTGAAGCAAGATTTTTTACCCTGAATTGGTCATTGAAGGTCAGATTTAAGTCAGAAGTCAGATTTAAACTTCTGAGAACTTGTAGATGATTTTGAAAGAAATTGGTAAATTTGAAGCAAGTTGAAAAAAGACCTTTTTGACCTTGAGAAGGTCATTGAAGGTCAAATCTTTAGTCTCTCTATAGTCAGATTTTTGAGAACTTGTAAATGATTTTGAAAAAAAGGTCAATTTGAAGCAAGTTGAAAAAAGACCTTTTGACCTTTCTTTAACCATGAGAAGGTCATTGAAGGTCAAATCTTAAATCAAAAGTCAGATTTGAACTTCTAATAACTTGTAGATGATTTTGAAAAATAATTGTTCAATTTGAAGCAAGTTAAAAAAGACCATTTTGGACCTTTTTTGGCCTTGAATAGGTCATTGAAGGTCAAATCTTGAATATAAAGGCAGATTTGAAATTCTGAAAACTTGTAGAACGATTTGGAAAAATCAGTCTAAACAGTTTTTGTTAAGTTATTGGAAGTTTTAAGAATTTGTTACAGGCGCCAACCACAGCCCGCAACCCGCTGATCGCCAACCACCAACCGCCGCCACAAAAAGACAGAGACCATAACAATTTGACCTTTTCAAAAAATTCATTCTATGCATTCTATTGAGGTGAATACCTGTGCATCTTTCACAAGAGATATTCCAAAGGGCTAGTGGAATATAATCTTGTGAAAGTGTCACAGGTATTATTCAATGAAAATAGAATTAAATTTTTGTTTTATTATTCATTGTTATATTACTCACTTACATTAATCAAATACCAAACTATTGATGTCTAATTAATCATAACTCCCAGGGATATATATAATTGAAATTACACTGGAATAAATCGCAAATGGTATATCATTTGATATTCAACGGAAGTCACGTGACTTTCGTTAAATATCGTTTGTTAATTCTAGTCACATGTAGGACACGAACCAATCAGAGAGTGAGGAATATGACAGTGGTATAATAATGATAGACAGATAACTGTTAGATAAACAGTTAGTAATCCTACATTGAACTTTTGAAATACTCCCTAATGTACAGTCACTCATGTTCCCCCACATTCATACATAACAAATAACAAGTCACAGGTGCACCTTGACTACACATTGTTTATATTTACATTGATTTATGAAAATAATGATGTGTTAAGCAAGAGAGGAGAAATGTATCATCTGGAGAGGTAAGCCTTGTCCTCATAAATCTTGTATAATGTGGAACAATACATAAATAGAAAAGTGGTTGTTACACATTCTCACACAACATCTACACAGAAAAATAAATTATAAAAATGTGCCCATTCTTCGCAGGAGGTTTGATAGATAGCTAAGAAGGTTGTTTGGATTTTTTAGAAGGTTAAGTAGTGGCTAAATTAGGTTTTACAAAGGTGATACGGAAGTCAAATGAAAGACATTCTCAGACAATCTGTTTCATAATATTGCTGCAAAAATTCTTCAAAATCTCTTCTTCAACAAAGTTCCTTTGTCCCTAGGCATCAACATATAAAATTTCAACCAAATCCGTCATCTAGTATTTGAGTTCAAAGACTACATTTTTTACGAAAAATGGTGGCCATTTTGAATTGAATGGCCATATTGAAAATTCCTTCTCGAGCAGAGGTTCTACCCCCATTAGGCAAAGCCAGTATAAAATTTGAATCAAATCTGACAATGGGTATTTGAGTTATCGCCTGGATAAACGAACAGATAAACGGACGGCAGAACAGTCGGATGGACTGCTTTCCTATATCCCCCTCAAACTTTGTTTGGTGGGATAATAAATGACAAACTAAATTACATTCATTTTCAAATCTGCTTAGTGATTGAACAAAATAAACCCCTAAAAATGATATACAAATGCAATACTAAGAGAAATGAAATCCTTTTTGAATCTAAATTTTGAATATTTTGTTCAGGGCACATCAAAACAGATTACATAACCAGACAAACCAGCTGCCACATATAATCAGAGCTCATAATATGATGAACCTCTACATCTCATCATATCATCAATATTATGCACTATCATCAAATATTAGAATTTAAATCCATAAAGCCATAATGATGCGGAGTTTTTGCTCACAGATCATATTAAATACATGAAGAACAAAATCATATGATCTTTTAACAGAACAACTGTTCAATGTTTCAGCTTACTGGTTTAAACTAATGTAATTTTCATCAAGGAAAAGCTTTAGAGCAAATGAGAGCACAATATCACATGAAATATTTACAGATTGTTTCATCTGTTCATCACCATGGAGATTGCCAGAGTTGATTACGAGAAGACAAATAGATTATGAGATTATCTAACAAACAGCGAGGGCATATTTTCAATCAACATGAATTAGAATATTTTAATTACGAATATATTAGAATGAATGTTTCAATTTTTATATGAAGACATTATTGAATGCTAAACAAATGTTGCCCTTTGGTATTTTGTGTTTAAAGTTACTTTTGAAGGCACTCACATTTTCATGGTCCATGTGTTTTAACATTCTCACTTCTCTAAATGTGCGCTTGGCATGGATTGGGGACTGGAACGGCCTTGCTATCTTCTTAATAGCAATACGTTGGTTTGTGTGGGTGTCTAATGCAGAACTGAAATTTAAGAAAGACATTTTAGTTTAAAACTTGAACAGCATAGACAGTGAATGTGGCTTCATTCATATAAAAAAGGAGTATTGTAAAACTTTTTAATATTTGTAGTCAAGAAAATGAAGGTATTGACAATTTGACACGACACAACACATTTCATCCATAATGTAGTTTGATAATCTGCAAATCATTGAAAATGCAATTTATTACAGGACAATTAAGATGTGTTGATACCTATGAGTCAGTGGGATCTTTAAAGATATACTACTTCATATGTACTATTTCAAATATTACTAAATGTCATCATGTACAATAAAATTAGTACCATGGGTACTGGGCTCACATGGTCACATTTTTTGCTGATTTTTTGTTACAAAATTATTTCAAGCCATCTGTCTCTCAGTCAATTAAAATGGCTGAAAAAAAACGGATATAATTTTTTGCCAATAATTTGTAACAAAATTATTTCATACAACTACTCTTTACAGTGACATGGCTTTTTGCAATGCAAGACACCTAAAATTATTTGTAAAGCTAGGAAATGGGCCAAAATTGAATTTCGCGAGACAAAAATGGCGACCATTTTGAAATCAGGCAAGCTTTTGAACCAGGAGTCATAAGGGAGTTTTTTGTATTGATGTTGAACAAAAATAACTTGAAACTGGAATCCTATTGACAGAGGTTTTAAGCAAATGGTCCAAAAGAGGATTTCCCGAGACAGATGGACAAATCAATGTTAACTAAAATGGCTGAAAATAAAAAAACGGATATAATATTTTGCTGATTATTTGTAACAAAATTATTTCATACAACTACCTTTTACAGTGACATGGCTTTTTAAAATGCAGGACAGCTGAAATTATTTGTAAAGCTAGGAAATGGGCAAAAAGTGAATTTTGCGAAACAAGAATGGCAACCATTTTGAAAATAGGCGAGCTTTTGAACCAAGAGTCATAGGAGAGTTTTTTGTATTGATGTTGAACAAAATTAACTTAAAATGGGAATCCTATCGACAGAGGGTTTAAGGTAAATGGTCCAAAAGTGGATTTTGCGAGACAGATGGACAAATCAATGTTAACTAAAATGGCTGAAAATAAAAAAATGGGTACAATTTTTCGCTGATTTTTTGTAACAAAATTATTTCATATATCTACCCTTTACATTGACATGGATTTTTACAATGTAGGACACCTGAAATTATTTGTAAAGCTAGGAAATGGGTCAAAAGTGAATTTCGCGAGACAAAAGTGACGGCCATTTTGAAAATAGCCGAGCTTTTGAACCAAGAGTCATAGGAGAGTTTTTTGTATTGATGTTGAACAAAAATAACTTAAAATGGGATTCCTATCGACAAAGGGTTAAAGGTAAATGGTCCAAAAGTGAATTTTGCGAGACAGATGGACAAATCAATGTTAACTAAAATGGCTGAAAATAAATAATGGATATAATTTTTCGCTGATTTTTCATAACAAAATTATTTCATACATCTACTCTTTACTTTGCAATGGACTTCTACAATGTAGGACACTTGAAATTATTCGTAAGGCTAGGAAATGGGTCAAAAGTGAATTTCGCGAGACAAAAATGGCGGCCATTTTGAAAATAGGCGAGCTTTTGAACCAGGAGTCATAGGGGAGTTTTCTGAATTCATTCATCGTTGAACAGAAATAACTTAAAACAGGAATCCTATCGACAGAGGTTTTAAAACGTGCCACTGTTATTGACAGAAAGTGGATTTCGCGAGTCAGGTAGACAAATCAATGTTAACTAAAATGGCTGAAAATAAAAAAATGGATACAATTTTTCGCTGATTTTTTGTAACAAAATTATTTCATATATCTAATCTTTACATTGACATGGATTTTTACAATGTAGGACACCTGAAATTATTTGTAAAGCTAGGAAATGAGCCAAAAGTGAATTTTGCGAGACAAAAGTGACGGCCATTTTGAAAATAGGCGAGCTTTTGAACCAGGAGTCATAGGGGGGTTTTCTGTATTGATGTTGAACAGAAATAACTTAAAACAGGAATCCTATCGACAGAGGTTAGCTAGGAAATGGGCTAAAAGTGAATTTCGCGAGACAAAAGTGACGGCCATTTTGAAAATAGGCGAGCTTTTGAACCAGGAGTCATAGGGGGGTTTTCTGTATTGATGTTGAACAGAAATAACTTAAAACAGGAATCCTATCGACAGAGGTTTTAAAACGTGCCACTATTGTTGACGGACGGACGGACGGACAGACAGACGGACAAGTGAGCGATTGCAATAGCTCACCATGTGAGCTAATAAAAATAGGACACTTAATTTACTAAAGGTGACATCATAATCCTGTAAATCAAGGTGAACATAGGTGTCTGGAGAATATTTAGATAAAGTCCTAAGGGAACATTTAGTCAAGATTATTATGTGGCATGATATTCTGATCTGGCAAATTATCAGATCTTTATTGACAAGTATTAGAAACAAATACAGTATGCTCTGAAAATTATGCATATTTGATATGTTCCATCTTGACTCCATTATTACCTTTTTTCACCCTATACAGGGTGATCCAGAAGTAACGTCAAAGACATTGTAATTTCAAAAGTATTCATCAGATCTTCATGAAATTTGGTATACATGTACCCACAACATTTCTGAGTTACCATCTCAAAGATTGGAATTCAATCATTTCATTGGTTGAAATTATGGTTGCTATAGTAACCCGATATCGCGTAACCCGGGGCAAATTGAAGAGAAACCATAACGTTTTTGTGAATTTCTCTAATTTAAAAAGTCAGTAACATTTGAAAATGTTCATTGTTTGTTTTCTATGATTTTTATATTTGTTGCCATGGTAACAAATATGTAATAGTTGTGATGTCACAATAGGCATTCATAAAAAGCTTTCAATTTCTTTGAATTGCTTCCATCATCCATGACAAATACTAACATGACCAAGGACACTAACCCACCCAATTCAAGATGGCGCCAAGTCAGAGTAAAATAGAGCAAAGAACAAACATTAAGTTCTGTGTAAAGTTGGGGAAAGGTGTAAAAGAGACTATAAGACAGATAAAGAAGGCATATGGTAAAGCTGCCATTGCTGAGAGAAACATTTACAGGTGGTTTAACAAGTATTCCAGTGGATATGATGAAGTGGTAGACAAGCAGCGAGGAGGCAGGCCAGTGTCGTCATTCGATGATCAAACCATCAAAGCAATTGAAGCTGATGTTATGGACAATAGGCAAATTTCTATCAGAGAATTGGCTGAAAAACACGATCTGAGCTATGGGACTGTGCAACGGATACTGACAAAGAACTGTCTGTTAAAGAAGGTGTCTGCTAAATGGGTGCCGCATGACTTGACACAGGAGCAGAAAGACCAGCGTGTTAAGGCTTCAAGGGACTTTCTTGCAAAATATCGGAGAGATGGAGATGACTTTCTTAACAAGATCATTACGAGTGACGAATCATTGCTATCATTCTACATCCCAGAGACCACGCAACAAAGTTCATCGTGGAAACATGACAACTCCCCAACACCAACCAAGCCTAAAATAGTACCAGGAATTCCACAAAAGAAACAAATGGTTGTGACATTCTTTGACATTAGAGGAATGGTGTTAACCCATTTTGTTCCCATTGGCCAGAGAATTAATGCCGTTTACATTGCAAAGGTAAGATATCATTTGTTCTAATAATACATCATACTGTGAATTTTATTTTTAAATTAAAGTATTTAAATGTTGTTCACTGTCAATATAATTATAACTCCATGGCCATGATTCAAATCCAAATCCAATCAATGAAACAACTGGTTTAACAACCATTAAACATTTGTTTTTCAGGTTCTGAAGCGTGATCTTCAACGTTCCCTGAGGAAAAAGCGTCCTGGACATCTGCAGCAGTTTATCTTGCATTGGGACAATGCCCCTACGCACACTGCAATCCTGACCAGCAACACAGTCCAAACACTTGGATTTCAACAACTTGAACATGCCCCTTATTCACCTGATCTTGCCCCCAGTGACTTTTATTTGTATGGGGAACTAAAAAGAAACCTTAGTGGAAATAATTTTCAATCCTGTGAGGAATTGAAAAATGCCGTAGTACTAGCCCTACAAGGAATGAGTTCTAATGGATTTAATTCTGTGTTCAAGGAATGGGTATCCAGACATGAGAAATGTGTTGCAAATGGTGGCAATTATGTAGAATGAACTATTATTAGTAACTGTGCAATAGTATGATTTATATTGTTGTGAAATAAAATGTTGAGGATATAACAATTTCAGATCTTGTTGATATTTTGAGATTACGCATTACACGTTAAGTAATTTGCCCCGGGTTACGCGATATTGGGTTACTATAGCAACCATAATTTCAACCAATGAAATGATTGAATTCCAATCTTTGAGATGGTAACTCAGAAATGTTGTGGGTACATGTATACCAAATTTCATGAAGATCTGATGAATACTTTTGAAATTACAACATCTTTGACGTTACTTCTGGATCACCCTGTATATAGTGATTGCACTAATTTTCAATTGGTAAAGATGGGTTATGACTACCAAAGTTGTTTAATCTTTTTTGGAGCCATTTAGAGCATTTCTATAACTACAGCATTTTATCGCTACCATATTCTGCCATCATGGAGGTATGTTAAGGCTTGGGAGAGTTTGAGACACGTAACTTAGAATTTAGCTCATTGTGACAACTTTTGATGGTTGAGGTTTATTTTTGTTCACCACTGTAAAACTGTTGATTGAAATAATCCATTTAAATTTATGATGATTATCATTTGTTAAATTGAATATCAATATGATGTGAGGTAGCCTTACTCACGTCGAGAGCTACCATGTTAGATTTTGAAAGTATAGCTCTCCATCGTGAGGATCTCCAGCTGAAGAATTGTGACAGCGGCTTACTGTTTGTCTCAAACTGTAGTCTACATATGGGCTCATATGTGTCTACTTTCCCCGTGCATGTAGGATCGCGGATGTGCTTCTATGGCGATTAGGAGTTCTAATCGTTTTTTGAATTCATTGTTTGATACCCATTTCCAATATGGCGGTTAAACAGAAATATTATCGACGCATGCGCAACTTGGGAAACGTCAAGCCGCCATATTGAATATACCTGGCCAAAACTTTTGACACGACCAATAAAATGAAGTCCTGATCGATACATAGGGCAGTGAGACGTTCTATAGTTGAGCTGAATGAAAGATGGCGATGTAGGATACATTTTCAGGTATATTATGTGCAACATGAGTCAGCTGAATTCCCTGGAATTTTCTTTGAAGTCAGGATTCTTAAGCTGTTGATTCTAGCGATAGAGAGCTATACTTTCAAAATCTAAGTAGCTCTCGACGGGAGTAAAGGTAGCCTACATCAAAAATACAGTATCTTGTTCTCATTTCTCAGCCACTGACTTTGACCTTCAAAAACTCTGATAATACAATTCCTCCATCATTAACAATCAGACAACCAATTAAATTATATAAGAGTATCAAACGAAACATAAATACCATTCAGATAATTTGTGAATAAACACCTAGACCTACCTAACTTGCCCATAGGCTCCAGATCCCACTGCTTCAAGATATTGATACCTTTTGGGAATGTCCCAAACAGTTTTGTTTAGTTCCACCCGATGATAGCCTTCTCTCAATGGAGGATTCTCCATATTTCATGGATTGCAAACTGTTCTCAGAATATCCTTCTAACTACTACACACAAAGAATTGTTTTGATCTTGACGTCGAATAGGACAATTTACCAAAATTCCAAAGGTGATTTTCTGTTCGAATTTTCTTTTTCCTGAAGTAAGAGGAAGTGACATTTGCGCATGGGCGATGACCCTAGCCTCGATTCCGTTGAAAGTTTCGTGGCAAAAATAAACTGAGTAAATCGGTAAGCAAAATTCCTAAGACTAACCCCGTTTCTACTAACATATAGTATAATGAATGTTAAATTTAGCTGTAGACGATGCACTTCATCATCATAGTGATCTACTAACACCAATCACAACAGCTTGAAGCGCAGCCACTATAGAATTTGCATTTGTAAATGTGATCATCAACTTCCGGATTGATTTGAAACTGAAAGTTAGCTCACGAATTTGGAATCCCAATCTCCTTTCGCCGGAACATTCTTTTCGACTGTGCTCACAGTGACCACTATCAATCTTCATTATTCAATATTAGATTCTATTATATCAGATATTAGATAGATGGTGCTGGCTGTGAGTTAGCTAAACAAAAATCTCTTGAAAACTGGCATGAACATACTAGACTTCTACTTTTTTCAAGGCCTGACTTCGTCGCTAACATGCTAAATATAAGAGTTAGCTGACGTTTGGGAGTCTGACTTACCTTCTAAAGGTTAGAACCCGAATCTTAATGAAACCATATCACCTTTGTTGCGTCGATGATGATGCATAAACATAGCATTTGATAGAAATTAGCGTAAATGCTTTTCCGACTTTTTCATTTTTCATCAATGTTGACTTCCGGGAAGGCGTTGTAGTTATCACGAAATAACGCATTGACCCTTGAACTTTACTTTGTTGACGTGTCAACCAAGCATGTCTGGTGTGAAAATTAAAAGGATATTAAGCAATGTTCTACATCCGCCAAGCTAAGTGAAGTAGTCAATATTTAAAATTACCAATTTCAAGTGAAGTACGCAACGAACGAAACTGCGTGATCTACACTCCCACTATTGGTCTGAATGAAATGCTACGTAGAAATATGAGCCGTCTGCTGTATTAGTCGATTAATAGAGTAAGACCTGTTGGTGATGCTTTATAATTTAGACCAAAACATTGAAGAACAAACGAACCTGTAAATCGTGAAAACAACGAACAAATATTCGGTTTTCACATATGTTCGGTAATTTTTCGTATTGAAACTTCCGGAACTTGCAAGGAAATCATTCATTTTCTCGGTCCATGATTAACCTCTTGGATGTTGTGGCAAATGCTCCATGGTTGACGGAACAAAGGTGATATGGTTTCATTAAGATTCGAGTTCTAACCTTTAGAAGGTAAGTCAGACTCCCAAACGTCAGCTAACTCTTATATTTAGCATGTAAGCGACGAAGTCAGGCCTTGAAAAAAGTAGTAGGCCCCGGGAACATGTATAATAGCGAGTCGACATTACACAGAGAACTTATTTATGTTATAGATCTACACAATGTATTCTGCTCCTTGTTACGTGTTAAAGGCAAGAACTTAACTTTGACATGTGAGTGTTACCTGATGAATGGGACCCTCATATGCCTTCCAAATGGTAGTAAACAAACTCCAATGTAACTACATGTACATCAGTCAGCTTATCTTTCCTTTCGATCAACAATAAGTACTGTTATACAAGAAATGTAAACGCACTGTAACAATTTCCAAAAATGTTCGTACTGGCTTGTCATTTCCGGAAGTTATGATATGTTATATAACCGAACATGTGTGGAAATGGAATGTTTGTTCGTTCATTTTACGAGAGCTAAATAAAATGCGAACATCCAAGCATCGAACAAACATTCTATTTTCAAACATGTTCGGTAATATATGAGGTTGCCCAAATCAGTGAAACTGACTATAACAAGATCTGCTATTTACACTGAAAGCACTAAAAACCATAGAACAGTGTAAATAGCTCCCAGTAGATGAAACAAATTCTTTCTGATTGGCAGAGATCACGGTATACGTTCGCCATTCGCCAATCAGGAATTTTTGAAAGAGGTAGCAAAAAATATGTAAAGGTATTTGGCGAATTCCCTTTTTGACTGTTTACTCCAAAATTGTCTCAAGCAGCCTTCTCCAAACCTGTTATTTTTCTGTTGTGAATGGTGTGTGGCATTCAGTCTGTAATGGCCTTTGGTGGTTGAACTAAAACACATCTCTGGTTGAATTTCTATACCTCATATTGGAGTTTCATCAGTATTAAGTAGCTTGTAAAATGTGATTTTCCCTGGTTGTTTTCGTCAAAACCACCTGTTGGTTTGAGGAATTTTACAACTGTTTCCATAACAACTAAATCTATAATTAAAAATGACTGTAACTGGTGAACTTTTATTATCCCACTGAACAAAGTTTGAGAGAGACATAGAGAAAGCTGTTTGTCTGTCTGTCTGTTCCATCTGTCAACTAGTTACTCAAATACTAGTTGACAGAATCGATTCAAATTTTATATGCTGATGCCTAGGGATATAGGAGCTTTGCTCAAGAAGACATTCTTAAGATGGCCGTTGAATTTCAAAATAGCCACCATAAAACATAATCTAAGATGACTCAAATACCAGTAGACGGATTTGTTTCAAATTTTATATGCTGATGCCCAGTAACATAACTCTGCTTCATAGGAAATTTTCAAGATGTCATTTTTGATAACTCAAACACCAGTGGTGGATTTGGTTTAAACTTTATATGCAGATGCCTAATAATTTTCAAGATAGCAACCAATTTTCATTTTTCGTAAAATAACATAATCTTTGATAACTTGGTTTTCTAGTTGTTGACTCCTACTATGTACATATCGTCGGTTCCCACGCTCAATCACTACGTTCTATGAGGATAGGTTCGAAGCTTGATGAAGCAAGATGCTATATACAGTAAAACCGGAGAACAGGGAATGCTCTTCAGACTGGAAGAAAGTTTCCTTGTTCAGAGGTTTTCCCTATAGAGAGGGGCCGCACTTTCAGCAAACTCTGAATTGCCGAATAAGCATTTCTTTGTACATATTTGGGCATTAATTGATTTTACCAATGCCGACTCCATACTTGATTGCTAGACCTTGTTGTGACATCTTGGAAGATGTATGAAGGTCTCCCACCTCCCTCCTTTAGCTGAGGGTAAGGAGCATTCTCCCGATGTTGATTTTAGCCGCTGCTGCTGGCGTATGATGATGTCTAGTTGTTGTAATTGTTGATAGATTTGGCTCAACATGACACATGTACTTATCTGTTATCTCCATAAAACAATTGTGTCAATCCCTAGATTACCACAACTGATTTGATGTAATTATGTTTGTTGAAAGGAAGAATTGGTGTCATGATAATAAGTAACAAACAGATTAGTATTAGTTTTAAAATATATCAGGGTAATTAACAGTGGGTGGGATGCTACATCTTGTAAACAATTGGCTTCTTAATCTCAATCATATTAATCCAAGCTTTTTAGAATCAGATATTGGCTTAAGACTTTCACACCTCTGAAAAATAATGGAATATACAGTGTCACCAATATTCCATATTCCTTGTTCACAGGTTAATTTTCATAATTTGCACCAAAATAGTGTTCCTTGTTCCCTGTTCACAGGTTTTCCCTACAGAGAGGGTCCGTTAACATGTAAGTCAATGGAAAAATATTCGGTTCTTTTGAAAAGCATTCCTTGTTCATAGGTTTTCCCTACAGAGAGGTATTCCATCGGACAGGTTTTACTGTATACTAGAATGATGCAACTTTCAATATTTGAGCTAATGAGCCTGCCCTTTGAATCAAATCAATAGTTTCATCATATACAAAAGCATAAGTGAACATGTCTCATTTTAATTCATTTATTCTTGATTGACATGATCAATAATATGATTTTATCTGGGTATATTATTGTGTTTGTGCCACCTGCTTGCATCTTCAGGTTTGCTGTTTCATGCTTAACTACATGGATATACATTTAAATCTTTATATAGTTATTGTTCATACCAACCCATTGCTGACAAATATGTTATTTCAGTAGAATCAATAAATCACAATGACAGTCACATCTTTATATGTCATACACATGTTAAGGCAGGTTTCACAGTCATTATGTGATATAAACTCATTTTTCCACATCAACTTTGCATATAATATTTGCAGTTAATTAAAGCCATGTCTTACATAGCAGATCTTCTGAATCATCCATGATATGTTTTTCAACTGCAGCCTTATGAAGGGGGGATTGCTTGTGATATGTACCTTTGGATCTGCATCGATTTCATGAAGTTTTGTTCATTTGGTTAAGTAGCTGGTTGTAGCCAATGTATGGTATTTTATGATTGTGTGGGTTGTGCCAATGTGCTTGATTGACTGAGGTATCAGGTTTTTTGTTATGCCACCACCACATTTTTGTTATAGTCTTCAACTTTTTTGTGGATGGTGTTCGGTGGCCGATGTTCAGTGGTAATTGTTCGATTGTCAGCATACTGCAGGTGATGCCATTTTGCATGTTATTGTTATTGTTATTTGGTATTGTCTCAGGTTGTCCCTCCTGGTTGTTTGTGCACATTGGTGTCAAAGGTTGTGTCTAATAGGTTCTGTTGGTTGCATCTATCTAATATCAGTGATATGTGCTATTTGGTTGTGTTTTGTTGCCTGGTTATGTTTTGGTTATGTCAGATTGTACAAAAATGTATTTGGTTGTGTTACATATCAGGTTATGCCTGATTGTAATGTAAGTTTGGTATTGGGTTGTGTCTGATCATGTAATGTAAGGTATTGTAAATGGATGATATAAATGGATCAGTTCTGTAAATCACAATAATTTTGGGCAAAAATATATGTTTTGTGATTGCTGTTGATGCAAAGAGTAGACCACTGTTCAGCTAGATATTGAAATAGCGTCTAGCTGTTACTGTTCATTATTTTGAAATTAAGTAGTGGAAAATTAGCCACGTAACCCATGTGTGTAAGATAATGAGGCATGCAAGTAATATGACATTGGTGTGATACAATATTAAAATGCATATACCCTCCCATCATCTCTCCATCTGCCAATTCCAAGTACACTGTAGTTATAACATGAAGTTGGAGCAACTAAAACCTTGAGAATCAAGATGTCATCTCCCAAGTCAGTGTGAGTTTTATTCCATCAATTAAATCAAATTGAGCAGTATTTTTCTCTGGTCTTCCCATATTTATGCTTTAAAACAGCATTACTTTTGTACAGACTTGAACCCTTAAAAATATTTATGAATCTATTGGTAATTAGTTCACAAGTATTGTGAAGCTCAAATTATTATGAAATTTTCTTTAGTTTCATTGGGCTTATGCCTGGGTCACATTTCCCCCGATCCATCAGCTGGCGCCCAGCCGATTGAGTGTTTTGTTCAATATTGTATTCAATTTTGAACAAAATACTCAAATGGCTGGGTGCCATAGTGAAAATCAGAGCAAATGTGACCAAGGCATTAGCTTAGGTATTAAAATATAATGAAAATATTTAGGAATTATATGAAATGAGGGATTGGGCTATCAACACACTTCAATTTTCAGATTTGTTAGATGTTTTGACCAGTTATAATGAAAAATATGTGATTTTTATAAAATATATCAAATGACAAATATACCAGTACCAGTATATGTATGAATGGCAAAAATCAATGGAATTTGATATTTATATTGTCCAGTAAGTCGTATTGGCATTTCAGCTTTGATTTTTATCAGCAATCAATTTCATGAACTATGATGGAATATACACTATGATCCTACTAAATAACACCAAATAGTTCAACAAATCAGAAATAACGATTTGTTTTCATGTTCTGGTTGATAAAAATGTTTGTTTGATCTGTAATTGAAGTTAGGTCATGTTTTGTCAACACTCAACAATTAGTCTGATCGGGAATAACGTCATGAAAATGGTTTCGACTTCGATTGAAATTGAACAGATCTGAAGATTAGAAACATGTATTGTGTATTGCAAATCACTGTGTGGTTAATTAAGCAACATGTGCATGTGGCACACCCTCTTAAAAAATAATTACTCTACTTTTTGTTTTCCAAAACCTATAGACTCAGTAAACTATCCATAATAAATTGATCAAAAGTATAGAAATTTATCTCTTGATTAAAAAATTATTTTGCAACTTTTCAGTTTAATTTGTTCAGTGAAAGCTTATTATATTTATAGTTATTCTTTGCAAGGGTTATCTGTTCCGCTGTTTCTAATTGTTTTACATGCAAATTCCAATACATAAGGATACTACATTTAATTATTCTCTCCTCCATATTTGGAAGTAAAAAGGATAAGATTAGGATATTTTTAACATTATGGGGAATCAGGTAGGATATTCATTCATAAGTTCTAACTTAGTTTCTTTGGGGTTGTAAACTTCAAGAGTCATATAATATGAAACCTGATTAAAATAAGTGAAATTGTTCAATTTTTTTATTGAAATTATAATTAATGCAAATCTGAAATACGGGAACAATACAATAAGGGGGCGGGGAGGGGGCTGTAGCCAGGATTTTAAAACTTATGAGGCAATACATTCATGTTAGGTTTGGAAAGAACAAGTTTGATAGCTTTGACAGTTTATTTCTAAAGTGATCCAAATTTTTTGCCTCATCAAAAAATAATATATTTCTGTTTACCACAATATGTATTAATGATTATAAGAAAGACACATTTCTGCATAATTTTGCAAAGATTTTTTGTATTTTTAATCAACGTTTTGAAACCAGAATGTATATAATGCTTTTTGATTGTTTGTATTTTATAATATATTATGCGATTATGATTTTTAAATAATATGCATGTACAGTCAACCTGTCTAATGGAAATGCCATGGCAGGTCAAAAGTTATTACAGGTTCACATTTCAAGGTTTCTTAAGTTAATATGTGAATAAATGGAAGATTTAACAAAATTGGGAAAATTGTTCATTATTGAGAGATGTTTGGATTAGGTGTTCTATTCGGATACAGGTGTCACTGTTCTCTAATGTACACACATATACATACATATATATAATATTCTTCTGATTACAATATGATCTATATTACAAGTATGAAATATTTAATAAAAGTATTAGAAAGCTTTACATATCACAATATAAATTAGAAATTCCTTTATTTTGTGGACAGTGTCTATTAACATCTATAACATTGTCACATTTTTGTAACCAGATGACTTTCATTATCTTTTCAGGAATACCCATCAGGCACCGGGAGAATGAAGGCTCTTATTTTAGTTGGAGGCTATGGGACACGTCTTAGACCTCTGACCCTGAGCAGACCCAAACCACTTGTAGAGTTTGGTAATAAACCCATGCTACTACACCAAGTTGAAGCTTTAGCGAAGGTATTTACAGATTCCTGACATTACGTCCTAGTTATATGTATGTATTAATAACTCATGGCAACAATACCTCTACAGTGACCCTTATATGCAAGAGGGGGACCAGATACAAGTTGATTTGGGTTGGGTCCATTTTATTCAGGTCATTTGGGTGATTCGAGTCAATGCCACAAATTAATCACCAATATGAATGATTCCCACTATTAGACATATTGGCCTTTAACATTTTTTCCCTTGCAAAACATTTCTATCATTTTCATCTTTTCTGTTCATATATAAGAAGCCCAAAATGGTATCACTAACCTCACCCCAAAGCTGAACATTAATCACGCATGAATTATCATATAGAAATAAATGAGAAATGAACTTCATATGTTTTCCAGGTCGGTGTAAAAGAAATTGTACTTGCAGTTAGTTACAGAGCGGAAATGCTGGAAAAGGAAATGAAAGAACAGGAAGACAGAGTAAGTCACCAATATTGTAAGAGTAAATATGTCACTGATCTCACCACCATCCTTTGCATTGAAGCCAACAATTAAGAATTTAAAAATAGCCTATGCACTTATTTGCCAGTTTGGACTAATGAATTGTAAAACACTATGAGGCTCAGAGCATTAATATTTACTAATGATGTAGGTGAAGCTCAAAATATGATTGAGATGGGCTCACAGTTTTTCACAGAAAGTCCTTCAAAAACAACTTTTTGAACATAAAATACTAATCTGACATCATTTTTCTGCGTGTGCATTGAAGTTCACGTTCATGCTTTGTTGAATATGTGTAGCTTAACCTCTCTACTGTCTTGAAAGATGACTGCATTCATTTGATAATAGACCAAGTTTAAAGAAATATGGCAGTAAATCATCTTATCTGTGTAGACAATCTGTAATATAATGGCATAGTTGATTACCTGCAAAATTGACATCAATGATTTAGTCGCTGTCAAGTGTGATGTTGCAAATCATATTCTTTATAAATTTTAGAATGATCCTTTGATTTCCAAGGGGATGGATACTGTTCACTTTATGCCTTATTATTAATTTCTATTATAATATGCAAGGTTCCAGCCAGTATATAAATTATTAATCAAGTATGGAGATTTAATTTTCAACATGAATTCTTCCTATCAGCTCTAACAGAAACATTAAATAACCTACTATTTCCTAAACATTATATCAGAAGCATCAGGTATTCCACATCAATCTTAATCACATATAGCATTTACTGATGGTGGGTTTTATCAATATTTAGTTTATTTGAACTTGAAATTTTACAGCTCAATATCAGAATCACAATGTCCCATGAAAAGGAACCACTTGGGACAGCAGGACCCCTTGCCCTAGCAAAGGAAATTCTCACTGCTGATTCCGAGCCATTCTTTGTGTTGAACAGTGATATCAGTTGTGATTTCCCATTCCAAGATATGGTTGATTTCCACAAGAATCATGGGAAAGAGGGAACTATTGTGGTAAGTACCTGTCATCCATGTGTATTTCCCATATAAGGTGCTCAAAACATATGCAGAATCATGTTAACCTTTAAGCTAGTCTCAAATGCCCATATTAGTAATTGGCAAGTTTTTTGTACTTTTATTACTAATGGACAAATTGGAACTCAATTAAGATTTCATGTAATGCCATGCAGTTTTTGGCCTACATGGTGAGCCTATGGAATGGCCTACTCGTAAGTCCGTCCATATCACTGTCACTATCACACTGAATAAATGAAAAGTTTCATTCATCTGAATCAATGCTCATATCCATATTATGGGTCATGTGGATCAATGCTGGAGATTTACGCCAATATCAGCTCCTGCTTTTATTTTGCCTTGTTTTGGAGAAAATGGCTTTTACTCACCATGTCACTAAATGGTGCCATTTTAAATTCTGCTGATGCTGCACAGAAATTGTTTATATTTTATGACCATTTTCTCAGGTCACACGTGTCGAGGAGCCCTCCAAATATGGTGTTGTAGTATACAGTCCAGAAACTGGGAGAATCAACAGTTTTGTAGAGAAACCGCAAGAGTTTGTCTCAAATAAAATCAATGCAGGGATGTACATTTTCAGTCCATCAATTCTGAACAGAATAGAGGTAACGATTTGGTAGTTAGTTTGTAAAAACTGTAGTTTATTAGTTTTCTTAAAAATAAAATTATCATACATCTCCTTCCAAACTGGAGCAAGCAGGTGTTGCAGTCAAAGACTATTGACAAGTTTCATAATCTTTATAGATAAATTGAGACTTTTAAAAACCAGATGAAAAATGGAATATCTCTATTTATATTTAGTTTTTCATTTTTATAGGAGAGATTGATTCCTAAGCTCTTGGTTTATAGTTTTCCAACATGTAAAAATGACAATGAAACTAAAGTTATCATTAAATGTCTCTTTATTGTTCCATTTATTGATGTAGCATGTACATTTCTATTTATGTTTATTTCAGTTGACACCCACATCAATAGAGAAGGAGGTCTTCCCATATATGGCTAGTGATGGAGAATTATATGCAATGGAGTTACAAGGTAAAACCTGATGAGTCGATTCCCCGCGGGTTGAGGCCTTCGGGTTGACTCGAGTCGACTCCTTAGTTGAAGACTCGACTCATTTTAGGTTGAGAAGAGGAGTTCTGAATGTATATTGTGCCAAAACATCAGCCTGTTTGCTTGAGAGCGAAACGAAATGTCCCATATAGTTAAAAACATGTCTGTACTTACCTTCTCAGCGCTAAAAAGCCGTCAAATTGTTTAGTTTATTGGCTAAAAACAGTGTTATTTACAGACAAATCACACATGTTTTTTTATATTTACATGTCAGCCATTTTTAAAAAAGTACGCTGGACGAAAATCAATGATCATTTTCCCGGGGAATTACTTCAATCATGAATTATTTGAAGGAATGACTAGTGTATTTGAAATCAATGAATTGAACATTGAATAAATTAGCTGATGAAGATATATCTATAAAGCTAAAGAAAATTATGATGGACTAACAGCCTATTGTCATTAAAGGAAGTAACTAAGATTACATGAAACAACAATTAACTTTATGCTTTTTATTGTGAGAGGAAAACGAATTGACATTGCAGCAAATGATGTTGGAGTTGGAACTCGAATCGAATTTCTGTGACTACACCCGAACCCGACCCGAATCGTTCAATTTCGATTTCGAGCTGTCCCACCCCTAATAGATATAATAATTTAATCCATGAATATCATGGTGTCTGGCATATTGACTACAGTAATAGGTTGGAAAAATGGAAGATTTGATTATGTAATCTAAGTAAGGCTTTATGAGTTACACTGCTGAACAGTTAAACTGAGAAAGAAGAAGCACTTATAATAACTTGGATGAAAATAATTGACTGGAAACTGTAGACATCTGAAAGAGTAATATACATGTAGATGGAAATGGATATTTGTAAATAGAGAATGTTATTGTAGTATTGTTAGTGTCTCCAATGATACCTATGGTGAATCCAAAAATAGGGAAACTCCAGAATTGCACCATTTTCTATTCATCTGATTATAGGTTTCTGGATGGATGTAGGACAACCCAAAGACTTCCTCACCGGGATGTGCATGTACTTAAATTTCCTACGTCAGAAATCACCAGATAAATTGCATTCTGGGAAAGACATTGTAGGAAATGTATTAGTGGTAAGTACATTTACAGTTCAACTTATACATGGACATAGCCATGTACAAATAATGCAATTGGGAAATAGAATGAAAAGGAGTAAAACTTGGTTTAAAGAAGAATGCAAATAGGCTTGAAAGGAATATTTTGGTAAAAATAGTAATACATTTTCCAGGAAATTGAATTCTTCATTCAAATTTATTTCATTTTAGTTGCTCTACAGTTTATTTCAGTCCTTAATAGATACAGCTGGGTTCAGTAAGTTTTTAACAGTTTCATTTTCAATTTTAGGACCCCAGTGCTAAGATAGGCAACAATTGTCGTATCGGACCCAATGTTACGATTGGTCCAGATGTTACCATTGAGGATGGTGTGTGTATTAAGAGGTGCACAATACTTAAGGGGGCTACTATTAAATCTCATTCCTGGTTGGAATCCTGTATTATAGGCTGGACATCAACTGTGGGCCAGTGGGTAAGTCATGATGATGTGATATAGTTATAGGCATGAAAGTCATAGAGTCAATTAACTATCCAACCAACAGTATTAAGGCTTATGTATAGTTTAACTTCCCTAAAGTTTTTGTCTTGTGCTGATTCTTCCACATTGGTTGATCGTAAAAATGTGTAATTTCTGCAACAATAGATAATAGATATGGACTAGAAGAAGTTGAACTCATTCAAGTAAAAAACATTGAAAATTCTTGGAATAAATTATGTATGAACTTATATAAGCCCAAAATATTCTAAAATTAGACAACATTTCGAAAAGGTTGCAAGCTAGAACTGACTCTGCCCTAAAGTCCCTCCACACATATTTTAAATTCTGAAAACTGAGACAGAAAATTCAGGGTAGAAAATTGATTGAGAGAATACAATTGTAAAATTATCATGTAATTATACATAACCATATAATACCCACAATAATTTCAATATTTCATTTTCATGGTTCGTTTGGAGTTTTACTGTAATTATGTCACCACTTGTGACATATTGCTGTAGTCTCCAACTTTTTGTGGACAGTGGGTGGCACTTGACAGTTGGTGTTCAGTGTCTTTAACAAATGGTGACATTTTGCATGTCAATGCCTTGTTATAAAATAAAATGAAATATTATTTTTCTATTTCAGGCTCGTATGGAGAATGTGACAGTATTGGGAGAAGATGTGATAGTTAAAGATGAACTTTATATTAATGGAGGTCGTATTTTGCCTCACAAGTCTATAGGAGCATCAGTACCTGAGCCTCAGATTATCATGTGATAACCCCCTTTTTGTGATAGACTAGTCCATCCTATAACAGCAATCTGTGAGATTTTCAAATGGAAGAGTATATTACAGGGGTGTGAGCATTCTTCCAGATTTATGGGTATTTTGATGAAAAGGGAAACAAAAAGCACCCTTTTATCATTGGGAAAATTTTGTGAAGAACCTGTTACCTTTAAATGGACTAGGTGCTAGGACAACACTAAGCAGAAATTATCATAAGAACAAACATAACATTTCAGCTGATATATCGTGAACTTCTACATTCCTCAATAAAAATATCTAATAAGTGTTAAGTATGGAGGTAAATAAGGCTGAGTAATGCTATATGCATGTAGTAATATTAATTAAAATGGTTGTTATTTTGTATGTTTTGCTCATGTCATCATAATTTAATCCTCTTACTTGGTCATATAAGGAAATGAGTATTTCTGTTTGATGATTATGAACGAAAAAAAACAGTACCCATTTTCTTGTATAAATTATGGGATGTCAACTTTATGGAATGTGTTTAATATACAAAGAATATATATACACTGTATATGAACGTTAATGAAATAATTGCTCAGGCGATGGCTGTGCAGTGTTGAATCTGATATTGTTAAATTGTAAATATAATAATCAATTTCTATGAACACAAGGAAACAATGGGACTGCATTGGAATATCCATATTTGCCATCAATGAGGGAAGAGGTCAAATCAAGCTAAAATATGGCAACATCCAGGCTTAACTTTAAATTCCTTAAATTGGTATTAAGAGGGAATTTGTAAAAATAAAATAATATCTAGGTATACTTTAGAAATTGGTTATAACGTCATTTCAGTGGTTGTTAAAGCTTAATGGACATTGGGGGAGGGGTGGGGGTTAATGTCAGTTCGGAGGGGAAAGGAGTCTTTTGACCCCAAGCTTTAGGCAGGTATGTATATTTCAGTGTGATCTCTGCGTTCTAGAAAAGGGAAAAATCTTAACTTGTGCAAATTATAGACACTGTTAGTTGCATTGATTTTTACCAAATCTATTCTTTTATGGAAATCAATTTCTATTTAAAAGTAGCCTCATGCTAAAGGAGGTTTTGGCCCACAATGCAACTCAAATGTAATTTGTATTTATTAGTGGTGTTCATTCTTGAGATTATGTGTTCTCTATCTGTGTATTTAGAACTGTTTTAGTTTGGTGTGTTAATAGGTTTGATATGTGCAGCTATTTATGAGTTACTTCAATTTGGAAGGAGATCTTCACTGATTATTATCTGTCTCTTCTCACTTATCATATTGTATCGTGTAGTTGTATGAGTAGATTATGGGGTTTAACATGCATATTATTGAGTATGGCAATGGCACTATTGCTGTCTAGTGCACTGAATGCTCATGCAAGTTCCATGTGATAATCTTCCATATGGACAAATAAAAGTCTTCATATTTTCTGGTGTTCACTTCAGTGTTCACATTCATACATGTTACTCTCTGTTGAATGACCAACTATCTTGGTTTAGTCACTGCTAAAAAGAGACCCTAGGGTCTTTAGACTTGTTAGTATCATTCCGATATTTTTGAATTATAGTTTTTGTTGATTTTCTGTTCTTATTTTATTGTAGTTTGAATTGTATTCAAAAGGTGGGTTAGGGATGATGTCCAAATGTTGACAGTTTAAAAAATGAAGTAGAAAAATGACGCTAGCGCAACTTTTAAGTTTTGGACACCATCCCCTTGGGTGTGAATCATTTGGTGGGGAAATAGATGGCTGCAGTGCTTAGCCCAGATTAGTTGCTCCTATATTGAACCGATTTGCCTATTCTAACTCAAATTAATCAGTATGGCAGCCAAAGCCACCTCTTCTGCATCTAATAGAGTACTATACACTTATTAAAGTGGGTGAATCTCTATTCTTATTGTTTTATATATAAAATGGCATGAAATTTCAAAATGAGTCGTGTAAAATATTTATAAACTGAACATCATCACTGGTGCATGTTACACTTGTACAAAGCAACAATTCTATATTATGGTATTAGTTGTATCACATCCCTGTGTAAGCTCCATCTCAAACACAGTCTTAGTATTAAAGATAATGTAGTCCCATCTCCATTTCTCTCTCAAATGTCAGTATTTGTATAATTTTAGCTTACATCTTTGAAAATAATCCACATTGTTCCTGAGTTGTGATGCGGTAGTACGATTCGAACATGAAAACTCACCAAATTGTTTCGAATATTCATCATGGTTCGCCATTACTACGACCCACCGTTATGACGTCACACATTACACGTGATCTCGAATATAACCCAGCTGAAGCATTGACTTTGTTTACAGTTTATAGAAGGCGTGAATACAGTCATGTTCGAATATGGAATATGCACCCATAGTGTGCCTTATTAATAACATGGGTTCTGAACAAGCAATCTTGTCAGCTGACCACATGGAAAGTCATACTCCTAACCATTAGAAATTTCGGAGTGAATCAGTTGTGAATGTAAATTGTGCATTATATTTTTTAATTGGAGACATTCTTGTATGGTTACATTTCCTTTCCAGTAAACCTGCTAGACTACCAACTAGAAGAAATACTGATATTTCAAGAAAAACGATCAAAATGGTTGCCTTTCAAAAACATTGGATTTAAACTTAATTTTGAATTAAAAAATAACATGGGCAGGAATAGCATTTTTCAAAAATGTCTCCAAATAAATGTACCTTAATGATGACTAATTATCATATCACTGACACTATCTATAGATCATGAAGTTGAAAGTAACTGTTATAACTTATATACTACACTAGAAGACATGCAGTTGTATGCATGCATGAAATAAGAATAATATATATTATATAAAATAACTGGAACAGCCATTTTATGTTATCTTAATATATTATAAGATTGATTTATAAAATAATGTTCTCAGCTTGGAGCGAGGTAATTTTTAAGATATATAATCTCCATAAGTTTTATGACCCCTATACTTAGATGAAATATAAATAGAGATGAGAGATCTGAAAATACCTCAGTCTTTCAAATGATCAGTCTTTGATCAGTAAATCTAACCCATGATACCATGGCATTCTCAATCTCATGGCTCACAAGAAAAAGGGATATTATTTTGGTTAATCATGCTGGATATTTATTGATATAAAAATGCTCGCCCAGGATTTTTCTTTTCTACATGTCAATATTATTTTGAAAGATGGGTGCAAGACAATTTTTAAGTTATCAACTGGGTTCTTGGCTGCTGTGGAGATCAATGATATTCAAGTGTTTTGGAACAGAAACATTAATTAAACATTAATTGATTAATGGCCCCTTTAGTATTTTCTGAATGATGATATAACAGACATAAATACATACACATCAGCTTTCATATTTTTATTTCATTGTATATCTCAACAAAATGGGAATATGAGGAACATATACTAAGCCCTTCAACATTTAAAATGTCACTCGACTTTTTTGTGATTATGAGTCAAAGAAAGCATTCTTGAGTTTCAAATTGACTTCTGTGGTAACTTGAAACCATCTTCTAATCTATTCCACTTACCTTTTATTGTTTCTCCAAATATATTCTTTGAAAATCTGATTTTAAGGGTGTTAATCAGGGCAATTCTGTGCCATTTTAATCAAAAATCTTGTTGCTACCTAGAAACGAGCAATTGTGATCTTGTTGTTACCTAGGAATGAGCAACTGTGATGTCAAGTCACACTCATGTGAATTCTGGAATTAATGGCAGCCATTTTGGAAATTTCAAAAAAGTTCCCATTTAAAAAGGCTAAATGCTGTTTACAAATTGGAAACTATTGCAGAATCAACAAAAGGTTTGTGAAATAATTAGGATAAGGCTTCAAAAATTATGCACATGACAATATATGACTACTAAATGCTGGCAGGGACTTTTAATTGCCAAAAAGTCAAGTGACATTTTAGATGTCGAAAATCTTAGTAAACAAGAGCAATTATAATCATTCTTGCTAAACAACAACATCTTTTTAAAGCCAAAGTGACACCAACTGAAAACAACAGAATCTTTCATTCATTTACAGTACTATGATATACAGGGTGGTCCAAAAGTAGGTTTACAGTTATTCAACAAACTGTAATTGTAAATTTATTTTTGGGCAACCTAGTTTACTATACATTATAACATTTACAATTCTTACAAATCAGAACATCGAGTGATCAAGACAAAATAGTGTTGAGGGCATAATGTGCTCAATGTATTTTAAGCTTTAAATTAATATTATTATAGTCACTTCACTTGCCATACTGCACATGGACCTTTTATGTACCTTCTATTTCCTTTAATTTTTGGGATCTTGTCTTAGTTGCATTAACATTTAATTAGTAATATATCCTGTTCATTTTATCATTTAGAATGTATATATATAATATATATATTATATATTTATATATTATATTATTACATATATATATTTTACAGAACAGACAAAAACAACAAACATAGAAATAACAAAGTGACATATGAATAAAAAATATGGCATAAATTGTTAAAAAATAAAGTGTCTACTATAAACTCTTCAAACGCAGCAACAACCAGCTTGTAGATAACAATTAGCTTGTAGACAACCATTTGACAGAAAGAAAACTGCCTGGTGTCATCCACATCTATTTTCCTGTCCTTCTGATTGGCCCGAAATGTTACTATTTTTACTAATTCAAAATGAATATGTAATATATTTGGGGTGAATTCTTCACTTATTATACATACTTTCCACTTTACTTATCCATTTCACATATACTCTCCTGTAAAACACTTAAGCTTTGTTTTAATCATAACATTAGGGTTAAAGAATTAATGGAAATGGTGGCAAATATATCAGTTGAACAACTACATCCTATACATGGTAAATAGCAAGCAAAATATAATATCTATATATTATGGAACTTTAAAAAATTCACAAAACTTTTGGGGATTTATAATATTGTATGTATACTTATCTTATAAATCATATACAGTAAAATCACATTGATCGCTACTGATGTTTAAATATGAATCCTAAAAACCCCGTGGATAACTCTGCACTTGTATGAATAATACAAGTTTGGAAAATATTATCAATATGTTTTGTATGTAAGTCTTTTTCAGTAGTCTTTAACTCATTGCTGACCATCCCCAAGATATTTCGTCTGACGTCAAAGTCGTATCTGACCAACCCCGAGATATCTCGAGATGCTCTCCAATAATTGTCACATGATCTGTACCAATAATCTTACCAAATATTGTAGGGGCTGCGAGATGATCATGGTTGGGTGCAATGGCATAAAACATAGCACAGAGGGTGCTGATATAGTCCATGTTATGCTGATCATGCAATTTTGCTTAATTTTTCATCAAAATGGCCTGTCACCAGCTGAAAATCTCCAAAATAGCTCTGGCCAGCAATGAGTTAAATGTGGAAAGAATTTTAATTATTTAACTCTAGAAAGGTTACTCAACAAAATGATCAAATCCTTCAAGTGATCTGCCCGGGATACTGCTATATACATATATATTAATTATATATAATATGATTGTATGATTATATAATCAGCTTTAAAATAGGCTTTAAATAAATATGCTAAATTCTTGTCCTATGTAGTATATGTATTACTTCTTTAACAACATACACATTTATTAATCATATGGCATTTGAAGTTAGTACATGTACTACAATAACATTCATCTCTTTACACTCCCCTTCAAAAGTTTGGAAACCTCCAAATTAGACATTTGACTTAATATTAAAATGTTTTATCATTTTCAAAAAAATCATTATTTGTCATTTTTGTTATATTGTAAAAGAACTAATTCAAATTAAAACATGTTATCCAACAGGGCATCATGATTGCCAAACTTATGGAGGGGGTGTAATTATCTGTGTATATGGCATATGATATAATGTTATATAGTGCAATAGCATTTTTCTATCTATATTCACATTTGTTCAACATAATATAAACTGTAAAATGGTTTTATTTCTGTGAATACACTTTATGTAAATGTTTGCAAACTATGTACCAATGAACCATGAACATATATTACATGCACAATAAATTAATGGTAATTGTGTCTCATACTTAGATAGACTTAACTTGTTTTGGGGTAGATAACACATGGATATATATGTCATATCTGAGGATAAACTTGATATATTGTTTATCTCTGACTCGAGCCAGGGAGCCCACAGATATCATTAATTATATCCATTCCACTTTCAGGAATTCAAATTTAAATTTTATGCAAAATCTAATCTAATCTAATATTTAATTGAGATTCAAAAAGTGTGTCATCTTGAGTTCTAAGTAAGTTTTTAAGTTTTGATTTACTCAACACTTAATTTGTATTGGAACATGATGTAAAACTTTAACAGTTTCAATAATTAAAGTGTATTAATATTAATAGCATATTTCAACAGGAACATCATGTGCAAAACAATGGTTAATTTACTGCAACAAAAATTACTGCTCTGGACTACTGGTACAACTCATCAGTAAATATTCTATATACATGAACAAATATAGTGGTCCTTGTATTTTCCCAAACTGGAATGCTTTAAACTTTTTCGTTCCATTTTAACAATTGCATATTTGCAAATCTGTGTAGTTATTATTAACAGGTCAAGTCTTATGATGTCATCAAACTATCATGTGAAGTATTCTCAAAAGTTAACTGGTCAAGATGACAAACCAAGGTACTAATTTATGCCAGTTGACTGGTTTGCCAAGTTCACTGGCCAAGATGAATGCCATCTGCCCCATATGGCAAATTATATTTGTTGGTTTAGCACTTGATTCTTGCATCAATACAGCAATAGTTTAAACATATATGTGGGATTATATTTTAATGTTTCAGTTTCTGGTTGTCATGGTGATAGAACCATTTTATATTTCCCTTTGTTCATAATTATAACATATTTTATATTATTAAAGTCCCAATCTAAAGTTTTAACCACTTTGGCTTATATTTTAGTCTTACCCAATGTTATCAAAGTGTGATATGTGAAACTTTTTTTTTATTAAATTTCAAAAAGTGGTTTTTGATAGACTTTTTGTTCCAAAATTTGTGAATTTATTTAAAACTAATTTTTAGAGGTCACACATATCTTTTAATTAGCCACAACTCATGTCAATGCATAGCATTCATCCTCGCATGTTTTTGCCGAAAAAATTAAGAAAATCGGTTCATAAATAAGCGAGAAATGAACTTATCAGTGCATGAAAATGGTTCTGAGAAAAATGCATTTAAAAATTCAAGTTCTCATAGAAACCAATGGTACAATGATATCTAAAATATAATATATTCTTCCTTTTAACCTGGTTAGACAATCAACATTGGTATATTATTGAAGTCTAGCATATTTAGAAAAGATTGACATCGAAAAAAAATTTCAATTTTTTTCAAAAAGTTTTTGCTACCTTAGTGACATCACTTATGGTGCAAAATATTTTTGATATGCTAAAACATTGAAGTGGCCCATTAAATATGGCATTTTATTATTGAAATAGTGTGTCCTTTGATCAATCTTTGCATTGGTGTTAAAAAGATAATCTTTTTCGAAATGCATTAAGAAATATTTGATGATTAAAAAATTTCAACTTTTTTTGAAAAATGGCGGGAAATTTGAATATTTGAGAAATGAAATGCTCACAACTTTTTTTTCAAAAATTTTTTTTCTTTCAAAAATCTCTAGAATAACTTTTTAAGTCATGACAAATAGTAAATGAATGATAAAAAAATATTTTCAAACTTTAGACGGGGACTTTAACATATCTTTACACTCCTTTTTCTGTTATTAAAAGACTGCCAAAGAGAATCCCCATCAAGGTCATGTACCCTTACCCTACATAGGAACTTCCTATACCTTTGATCGTTTAAGATGATTACACTCCCTCCAAGTGTGGCTACCAAGATACTCCATTGTATAATATTGTATAATATTGCCTTTTTGAATTTTTGTGGCAAACTTAAACTTCTTCATCCTCGGGCTCCCTAGGAGGTCCATAGGAAAGTTTGTCTAATATGTAGGGTTGCCAAACCTTTGGAAGGAGTGTTGATAGGACTCGTCTATATAGCTCATCTTGATTCATAAGGTTATAACACCTTCGAAGTGGAAGATGTATATAGCTGGCATCTCACAACTAACATCAAAGGTGTTCAATATTTAACCCTATTTTCTATAAAGTTTGACTACACTACAAGTATTTGAATTTTAGAATGTATAGAAATTGACTAGATATTCTAGAATGATCTCAAGAATTTGAAGTGTCATATTCATATTCATGGCTGTTTTCTTCATGTCTTTCATGTGGATTCTACTACTTTGTATCCTTTTCAGATGTCAAAACCTGACCACCATTTGTTTTCACATGCGCTTATAGTCCAACTTTATCTCAAATTGGTATCAGGAGCTGGTGTTTTCTTAGCATTGTCATGTACTGGTGATTCCATTTCATATTCACTGGAATCTTCCTCCATTCTTGAGTAGAACTTGATTCTCTTTGGAATGATGCTCCCAGATTTGTTCTGGCAACTCCAGGGTCTTGACCAGATAAATGATCCACTGAAAGTTGCTGAAAATGTATAAGTGACGAGATAAAACAAATCAAATATATATTCACAATTCGCGTGAAACTTCGATCATTGTTCGAATATTTTGACATTTGTTTTTTTCGGCATTCATTTTTTCAGCGTGAACAGAAACATTTTTGCTTGACAATGGATTGAAAAAATGCGTATTTGCTTGACATACAAAGGTTGTCCCATAAGTCCTGAACTCATTGTTATAAGACAAAGAGTTTTTATTAATAAAGGCTGAAATATGATCAGTATTATCTTTGGGAATTTTCTGATCAATGTACATAATTTAAAAATACAATGTCTCGAAACAAAAAGTTATGCATGTCCAAACTTGCATGGTGCAGGGTACCGGAGGCACATTCTTTTCTCCTAAAAAACATCACAATTAATATTAAGACAATATTTTCAAAGCTTTGACTCACCTTCAAATTTGTTGTATTGTTACAAGTGATACTGTGATGATAATGAGTATTGTGACATCTCACAATAATATATCAAGATATCATAAGTTGATTAAAGAGATATGTTGAGGTTTGGTGAGTTAAAAGCAAGTTTTTCTCTCCTCAATGGCTGCACAATTGCAAATAAACTTAAAATATTGTCTTAATTTTTGAGACGTTTTTAGTAGAAAAGAATGTGCCCCAGGTACCCTGCAACATGCAAGTTCGGACACTCATAACTTTTTTGTTACATAATATTTTAATTCGAAATAATATACACTGATCAGAAAATACCTAAAAATAACACTGCTGAAATATCAGCCTTTAGTGATACCTTTTTTAAAAATTATCTACAAGTTCTCGGAAATTCAAATCTGACTTAAGATTGAACTAATATAGTGAGCAACAAAGTGGTGACATTTTGTCATGTCAATGCCTTGTATAACAATTAGTTCAGGACTTATGGGACAACCCTCGTATTCTGTCATGCAAAAAAACAGGCGTGACTTCAATCTCTTCAGCAAATGCGTGACATTTGAGTGATAGGAGTTACAGTATGTAATTTAACATCCTATGTAACAATGGCTTAGGTCCAATAGATGATTTGTTATGATATTTATATGAACAAAAAGTTAAATGGACTTATTAGAACAAAAGCATTAAGACAATCTGCCAATTCTACATGTTTATAAAAGCACATCTTAGACTTCATATGGCTTATAAAAATCTGGAAAAAATTGTCTCATATAAAATATCTATAAGCCTTTTATGTTACCTTGAAATTTTGGCGCAGTTCTACCCATTAACATGAGACACACATACACTCCTATACTAGCCACACATATACTCAAGCAGAATATAAGGAAACTGAGCGGGCCAAAGGCTGCAAACAACTGAAATAAAATAATACAATCATTAATTTCATGTAACGTGGTGTTAAGGTCTGGTTTCTGGATTTTAACTTATCCCAATTATGCCTTGTTATCCACTTTGTCTTTTGTTAACCACATTATATTCAGTCATTTACCATATGTTAATTATTCATATCTATCTGTCACCTTAAAATGATGTTTATAAATGAAAAAATCAAATAATCTTGTTGATATCAAAATTATGGGTTGCATGCCTGTAAGGGCATTTGATTATACTGAAGACTTACATTGCCTGTTACTACTGGAAAGACAACTTCACCAGTGGCTGCCATGACAACAACAAATGTTGTGATTGTTGCTGAAACATAAAATAAAAAATGCTAATAAAATGAGATTGAAGCTTTACATTATTGAATGATGTTATATTATAACAGATCTATCTGGTTTATGCTACTCAAACTCATAGTAACTGTCTAACTGACTATGTGCAAGTAGATATATAATCTTGGCTTACGTCATTAAAAATTCAAAATTTAAAGTGATATCATATTTGAAATCTACATGGAAAATTACATCTAAAAATGTGGTTTTACAACTTGTTTGTCAACTTTGGAATTTTCTTTTTAAATGTGACTTCTAGGTCGGGGAGATTCCCCATAGAATCCATGTTATAAAATCACAAAAAGTGAAATATGTTTTCTTATGAAAGACAGATATTATTTTCTTTTGTTGGACATATTTCAATTTGTATAACTATCAGATACATAAGGGTAATATGAAGATTGAACAACTAAAACTGATTAAAGAAAGAAATAAGAAAATTAAGATCCATTGACTTACTGGCCTTGGTCATTTTTGTTTGTTTAATGGTGCCCTTTGTGCTTTCTTACAATGAATGCTAAAAGTGAGTGCACTTTTAAAATGTAAACCAAAAGGTTGCCAAATTCTGTATACCCGAGCCCATTATGTATAAAAATAAGTAAATGTTGGAACCTTCCAATGCATGACTATTTACTTACAAGTACTACAAACAGCTAATTTTAGAAGAAATCAACAAATACTAGTAATGCAAGAATCCCAACACCATATATCTGTAAACTCCATCACGGATTAGGTAACAAAACAACTAAACCTCTTATCATATCCATAATATATGTTGTATTCATTCTGTTGCCATAACAACCATTATGGACTTCGTTTCTCCAATGTTTTTTTTTCATTGTGCTTAACCACCTCCACCATGCAACAAAACTGCCACCCCAACCCATGTCACCCTTAATAATTAAGAACCCTAGCCTACCCCCACATTCTCCGTCAAGTCCCATATTTCTCAGCATTCTCTTAATTCCTATAGGTGTGTCTGAATACAACAATTTAAGTCAGTTATCATAACTGGAGACCAAAAATGGAAAAGATATCAATACTGCACTTGTTAAGAAAATGTTATTCATTTTTCTGTTATGAGTTGTGGTTCCGTGTGAGTATTATGATTCAACACAGTTGTTCAAATTCCAAAAACTTACTTCCAGATGAGTGTTTTTAAAAATGCACATGTGTCAAAATTTCACTTGAATTACTATGGCACCTCATGTGGTGATGGTTCAAGAAAACATTTTTGGAAAAATTGCAATACCTGCCCATGTTCATTTAATTAATTGTATAGAATAAAGTGTCTATAAGGCATGTGTGTATTCCATTGCTTCTTTTAGGAAAGTATCATTACATTGTCTTCTTTCAGTAAACCTGGCAAGCAGTCACTGGTAACTCCAGGGAATGCTGATATTTCAAGAAAATGGCTGCCTTTTCAATTTTCCAAATTTCTTCTCGTCTCTCAACAAAACTGGATTGCTTACAAATCATTTCTAACTCACTTAACAAAGGATGCAACAAGGATGCTTTCCAGAAAAATAAGGAAATACACCTATTTCTTCATACTTTGTTTTCTACCAGAAAATAACATGTTTTTTTGAACATGTACCTGTAAAATGTTTTCGTAACTGGTATACCTTTACTTACATGTCATATCAATGAGCAACTCAGCAAGAGCTAGAGTAGTGGGCACTATGCTGCTGAGAAATATACCAAAGAAGAAGCTGCCTATGTACAGAGCTATGTGGTTGTGCCTCAGTGCAAGCATAAGCACCATGAAGCCTGTGCAGCCAAACTGAAATCAAGAGAGTGGTGTTCAGAGTATTGTATTCTTGTTTTTTAAGTTTAGGATCTGACATGTTCTATTTCTGTAATAGAATAACATGTGTGCATAAGTGGAACCTCTTTGGTACCTCTTAAAGAAGTTCCACTTATAGAGGTGTTCCACCCTTTCCACCTCCAGAGGAGTTCCACTTGACAGGTTTACTCTATGATTTTACCATTTGCTAATTATTAGTTCCTGCCATATAACATATGCCAAAATACATTAGTCATCATCCATTTAAAAATAAGTTAAAAAGGTGTTCTAAATCAATGATGTCAATAAGCAGTAACTCTTCGTTTCCTTGGATGAAATAGTTTAAGGAATATTTGCACAAGTAAACATATCTTTTACAAATGACGGTAAGTGGAAAATCATGGAATCCAGATTAACAAATCAAAGTTATACAATACCCAAATACTATTAGTTATACTCACTATATTACAAGCTAACATGAAGGCAGGGGTAAAGATGGCAGCAAGGGGAATAGACAACAGACGGCCCAATGCAAACGAACCCTGTAATCAAGCAATTATAACTTATTTGTTTTACCATTTGTATTTTTTCTCAAAGAAATTACCGTAAATTTACCGGGTGATTAACACAGCTTATTGATTTTAATTAGTTGTAATTGTGAACTCAGGTTGATGATGATTCTTGTTTAAAGTGTTAATTCTTCATTACAAGGCTTCCTTTATAATTTCCCAGTTGAGTTGTAACACTGTGTCAAAAATGATTCTGCAGAGTTTGTACATCCATATACATTAATTGAAAAACGAAGCCAAGTATTTTTCTTTACCCAGAAACATGCATTAAGGTATGCTCCCTCAGTTTTGTCCATGTCTTCAACGCTTTTTACTGCGTAAGAGTAAACATAGCCACCAAAGCTACCCTGAAATCACATACATGTGACAGTATGATATAATAGGTAAGTTATTCCATGTAAATGCTAAAATAACAAGAATACATAATACTACCTGAGATCATCACATATAAAATTTATTAAAAATATTTGAGTGTTTTTAATGCATTCTAAATTTCCAGAGCAATTTTTAATCGAATGAAACATTAAACATCATTTATTAACAATTTGGCAATTCAATTTGGCAATTCAATTTGGCAATTCAATTTGGCAATTCATATGGCTGTTTTGCAATGGAATATGCATTTGCTAGCTTTACTCCTTTTAGCTAATTTATTAAACAAAAGTTGTGAGCATCTAAATCATTAGATCAAACGCTACAACGTTAATAAATGAACTCTAAACTATATATAGGGATATTATCTCCTAAATAAAGTGATTCGTTTCATTTTCATGTTTATACCTGAACTCCATCGTATAGGAACATGAGAATCCCGGCAAACAGTGCAACAAAAAGCACCTTGGTTGTCGTTGTTGTTCCCGTTTCTAATATGTTACTGGGTGTACCTGTGAATTAATGGTAAAATGTGATTCGATGTAGTTGGGTGATTTTTGTGATGATTAGATACATATAACTAGAGACATATTATATGTCTCTGATATAACAATGGCGATGGGCTAGAAGCTGAAAGAGCCCAGGCAAGTACAAAAGTGATGACAATAAAAATGATGCACACATTGAAAAACCAATGGTGCTTTTATAATGCATTATTTCAAATAAATATGTGTATCACTTTTATACTGTTTCTGTCTAAATAACTGGTCCAATATTCGGGATTGCCCCGTCTGCACTTGTAATACAGGTACTGTAGTGGTGTGCATCGTGTTCTCGTATAATGATAATAATATAATATGTATATATATCAGGCCCGTAGCCATAGGGGGAGCTGGGGGAGCGGAAGGTCCCCCCCCCTGGCCAGAAATTCTTTCAAAATCATGCGATTTTTCACCATTCTGAGAATTTTTCGCATGATTTTTAGCCAAAATTGTGAAAAAGCCCCCCCCCCCTGGAAAAAAGCTCCCCCTCCTGGTAAAGCTGGCTACGGGCAAGTATATATATATATATTGCGCAGTGAATATAATTAAAATGGAAACATTTGAGGATGCTCAACTTCCATAACATATGTGAAATCTGCAAAAAGAGAAAAATGTGATATCATATATCAGTTAAGTGATTACATTGAATGATTAAAATCTGAAGATGACAGGAAACATACAATATATGCATTTGAAAGCAATACCTCCATTCCTGAATACAGCACAACAATAACACATACAGAGACTATGATTCTGTTGTCAGCTTTGCTCTCATTTTCAATTATGTTATTTCCATTAACTAATGTTGTGTGAGGGTTTCTACCAAACTTAGGATCCACCTCTGACATCCAACCCCTGAACCTATTAAACATATCTGAAAATGTTTTAATAACAAAAAGTTAGTGGAGACTATCAAACATTTTCAATAAATCAAACAAATCACTTTTCCAAAATTGTGTTTCATTCAAAATACGTGTGTCTATTACAAAACAATCAAGTAGATATAACGAATATCTTTGGAACTGGAACATATAAATTGTCAAACAAGTGAAAAATGTTTATAGCCATAGTATATTGAGTTCCAAGTTATAAGCTAATTTTATCCCAAATTGATGCAACTAATATCATGGGCTATGCTAATATGAGGAACAAGCAGCGACGATGATACCAGACCTGTTTTTTTCAGTCAAAAAAGGTTCTATGTGACATGATGTCAATGCTTATGTTATCAAGGCAAGTAAACATGACATTGAGCAAGTGGTTAGACCAAATCCGAACATATTCCACAAACCACTCATGCAACTAGATTGATCCAATGACGCACATTAATATTGATTTCATATGTAACAAAGCTCTTGCGTCGCAAGTCGTTCTTCATGATTACACATCGTATGCTTGTGTATCCACTTGACAGTATCCTGAATATGCAAAATCACTTATTCCAGCATCCTGTCCAGTCAATAAATAGTTGCAATTTTGTATGACAAAAGGATAGGTATCGAAATGGTTAACTGAATTCAACTATGTTTTTCTCTTAAACCAATTAAGCATATACAACATTTTCTTAGACCTCTCAATAAATACAGTTACACAAATGAAATGTTGGTTGATTTAACAAAAAGTACGCAAAAACTTAAAACAAACCCCCCAAAATATATAAAAATTAAGATAACCCTTTTATATCATTAACAAGATACTTTTTTAAAACCAACCAAACTTTCCTTTGCACAATTACAATATTGAGAGACCTAAACACAATTGTGTTTATGTCGTTTTGTTCCAATGAGGTTCGGATAGATTAGATGTTTCATTTCATTCCGAACATATGATACCAAGAACAAAAGAAGTGTCTGATGTGTTTTCCAAAACAATATAGAGAAAAGGATATATATATATTTCAAATTATAATGTTGCCATCCAAAAGATGACCATTAAATTGACGATGTGTAAAATTTTCAGAATTTTTTGACGACTGGTTTAAGAGAAACGCGTGTTCAAAAAGTTCACCATATCGATACCACTCCTTTCTAACCGTTTTTTCTACATCGATCGCAACCACTCCAAAGGATCGAATTTGACACTTCTTTACAGAATAGAAACACTCAAATGTCAATCTAATTCCTAATATCATGAGCAGTACTGCTTTATGATAGCTAGAAACTTCATATTCAATTTATTAGCCTCGCACCGTGTCTGATTCTATCCACCTTCCTTGTCTTAATGCGATGCGTGAATGAAGAACACCAACTTAGGCTTGATGTAAAACTTATGTGCAGAAATAAGTACATATATTCAATGAGATTAATTGTGATAATTTTATAACCAACACCACCATTTCACAGTTACTTACATTAAAATGTTTAGTACTAATACGAGCTGTTGAGTTTAGTATCAGGTATCAATCATAAGCCTAATGTCTTCAGGGGGGGGGGGGTTAATCCGACCCCCCAAAAGATGATTATTTCTCTGTTTTATAGATAATCATATTTCATGAAAATCGAGCCACTATTGGCAGTGTTGTGAAGGTAAGGTAAGAAACAACCAATCGCCAAGTAATCGCGAAACTCGTTCTCTTCACGAATTTGATTCTTGTGTTAATGCACACTGCGGTCCCAGAGCTATGATGATACCCTTTTCAAAATTTTAGATATACTTTTTTTCTATTCTCCCCTACCCCAAAATTTTCAATTTCACTATTTTGATGTTTGTGCCGCTGCTAGGTGGTCGCTAGGCAACATCATGGACCGAGATTGTATTGGAACAATACCGAGTCTGATACATTCATACATCTGCATACTAAATCACTGATTGGCATTTGTTGTACATGTTGAAATATGAATGCCAATGACAAAAACAAGTTGAACTTGAAGTTGAAGATTATTTAATTTCACGTTACATTGATATCAATGGGATTTCGCGCGATTTTAGTTTTATTTGAATGATAATATATTATTCTTTAGGGCAGTGAAAGAAAAATGATTTATGACAAAATGTCAAAAATGTGCGACCTAGTGTTATAATAAAGGACCCACGGTCCTGTGCTCACACAGTTTGGAACCTACAGAGAAATGTATATCCTGACTTTCAAGGCAAAAACATTGATTTGGATTTGTAGTCTCGAACTTTGAGAAAATTGATGACCTTTGACCTTGAAAATTTTACTTATTCAGAGCTCAGTAAGGTCTTTTGTGATTAAGCTGACCAAAATTTACATCCAAAAATCAATTTGGAAAATCAACTTTTTTACCTTTCCAAGGTCACTGAAGGTCAAGTAAAGGTCAAATCCTAAAACTAATGTCAGATTTGAACTCCTTGCAACTTGTAGATGAATTTCAAAAAAATTTGGTCAAATTGAAGCAAGTTGAAAAATAACTTATTTTTACTGTTTTTTGACGTCAAATATCTCAAAAACGGTAAAAATCTGATGCTGACATATATTGAGCAATATGGAGGGAATGCTTAAATGTAGTAATGATGTAATTCATTGCAAAAAATGATCAAGTATAAGGCAAACTTTGAGAAACATGTCAAAATCAGAAAACCTGCCATTGACTTTACATGAGAAAGTTTCCTGAAAATGGCCGAGTCCTACTTTTTGTCAAATTTTATAGTGTAAACACCAAAAACTGTAATTCCAAGAGCTTTGACATCTTCAGAGGACATAAGTTGCATATACAGCAACTACTACAAGTTATTTGAAAGTTCTACTTCAACAAATTGTCTAGTATTTACAGAAAATTTGACTTTTTGACGTCAAAATCAGCAATTTCTCGGAAACCGGGCCAACTTCTGAAATGGCGATGATAGGTCAAATAGGCATTAGGATATGCATAAAATGAATGTGGACGTGACTCAATCCGAATAGCAGTTTTAATTTGTGCGGCAAAGGTTGACGGACGGACGGACCAACGGACGGACGCCTGGTCGAACCCATAGGCTCACTGTGTGAGCCAAAAAAGGTTGAAGACATTATGGTTAATAACACGATGCATTGGGATATTTTTCAACTCCCAAAACAGTTGCATGGATCAACTAAATGATTCTCCCTTTAAAATATGTTCCATTTGGCTATTGTGTTTTTTTTGTTTCCTGACCGAACCCCATACCATCACGCCCGGTGATCGTACATAGGCGATATCTGCAAGAAAACTCAACACATTTGGAAGATTTATTTTTTCAAGAGAAAATTTACAACTGAATTGACAAATGAATAGGCACAGTGCATGGCAAATGATACGCTTCTAAGTTATGAGATCTATTAAAAAGGCGCATCATTCTCTTGCAGAAATCGCCTAATCCCCCCCTCCATCCTTTTTGTATGATCACCGGGCGTGACCATGGGCTTTCAAGAGACGTGCCCATACCAATGCCTTACATCACAAAATGTCCTCATTGAACACATAAACATCTCTCAAATAGGCCAATTCTACAAACAATATCTTTGTTCCATGTGGAAACACCATGAAAGTGGCGCATACTGTACTGTGCTGTTCATTAACAAACATAGCATTAATATGACTGGATATACACGCAATAACTAACTAATAACTAAAAACATTATTCGAAATGAAATATCATGGAAGGATGAAATGCAATTGATGATAAATTACCAGTTAGTCTCATAACCCTCATTTATAATAAGTTAGCAACTGTTCTAGTTTCCATCCAGATCAGTATATAATCTATCATTTATGAAGATCCTATGCAAATGTCATGCAACTCGTTCTATTTATGGGGCTTCCATCAATGGAATTATCGGAATAAGCATGATCCTTGACAAAATACCAATTAACGCACAACAGATACGATAATAAAAGCGTTGCTTCAAAAAGATGGCACACAGTGTACACTGTACATGGTACGTGTATTTAGTTAACCCAAGGGCGTTACAATACCCGGGAATTTATCGGTTCGTCCAGTACTTGTTTGTGATAGCGCCCTCTGTAGGTCACTGTGCTTATAGCGCGCAGCTCATCCAATGAACGAAACGCCACTTCCCGCTGAAATCACCGGGTATTGATCTTTCCCTTGGTTAACCAAAGCCGTCAACACATTTAAGTTTCCACCACCAGGATGAGAGAGAAGAGAGGAAAATAAGCAATGCGTCATATGTCAAGTACGAAGAGTAAACGGATTTCCAAAATGTTGAAGTTAATTAACCACCAAGGTAGAAACTTACAGGATGTAGACAAGACAGCATCTTTTATATCATTGCATAGTCCCAACAAAGGCTCTTAAAAAGAAACAAATCAATAAATGTATTGTAAAAGAAAAAAGGGTATATTGCACATAATTACAGAGTTTCTCCTTTGGGAGACATTAGGATTTGGGATGCACATTCAAGGTCATCATAATCTTACGAAAAGAAAGAAATTAACAAGCAAATAAACAATCAACAAACAAACAAACAGACAATTTGCAAGATTGTACAGTATACTTAGCTTGAACTATTTAAAACTATTTAAAGGTTATATTCAGAAAGTAAAATGACAAGATATCCTAAGTGAGATCAACGCCTGTAATAATAAAGAAAACTAAATGGTGACCTGGACTTACTAGTGATTAAATATTTGACGCAGTGAAGGGGTATAGTAGACACATGATTCATACTTAAATAATTTTGATGATGAATGCCACCTTCTAGTAATTTTACTACCTGGAATTATGTTTATGTTGAAATTGAGAATATGGAAAATCTAAAACACACGATTTTCAGTATCTTTTGGAGAATACAGAGTGGTGAAAGCTGACAACCAAAGAAAAAAATCAAGTTATATAATATAATTTGAAACGACAGTATGATATAACGAAGTATCAAAGAAAACAATTGAGATTGCTATATGACAGCCAACTCTGTACATGGTGTACAAATAGTGCCTTTTATATAAGAAATAAATCCTAAGTACTTAACACAAGAATCATACCTTTTTGTTTGGAATCGTCTATATCTTGATATTCATTTTTATGTTTGGGTTGGTTACTATGGTTACTAGTTTTGTTTGTTTTTGCTGCAACATCTCTGCTATCTTCAGGAGGTTTCCCATCTCCTCTGTCTCTGAGATACAAACTAAACACTAGAACAGGAATAGGTAGCTGAAAATAGAAGAAGCATCCCTGTACGAATGTTCCTTATCGGAATATATATATTCTGTCTCTATTCTGTCTCAATATTCTGTATTGGCACTCGACTTCGTCTCGTTTCAATACAGAATTTCTCGAGCAGAATATATGCTGTATTGCACTTCAAATCATTCAATAACTTATAATATTGACTTGAATCATATCTCGCTCATTTCTAAAGTGACTCAAATGGAAATTACAATATTTTAATATTACTAAGTACATTTGTTGTTCTGTAATATTGACACCAGTCACTCAAGGCATCTTTCAGCCTCTTCATTATTCAATCAAGGAGTCCCACAAGAACCCCTTGCGTACATTAACCAGAACGTTATAGATATTTCCCGTGTTGACGATATACGTCTACAATACATATATTGCCAGCACCAGATAACATATTAGCAATGAGAAGCAATAATTCAGAGCAATGAATTAGTCTTATCAACATGTTAACTTGTAATAAATTAATAACTTTCTTTTGAGCATTTTTATCTTTGATTCATTACCAGAAGGGAGGCTCCACAAAGAGGTTAATATTACGCAGAGAGAGAGGTATACAAATATAGAGGGAAAATAGAATAAGACATGTTTTCTTTTTGATCAATGCTACACTATTTTGCAATTGTAATATCTTTTTTTTGATATTTTTTACAAACGCTCATACCTGTACGGCTGCCATGATCCAAAACGCGTATCTAACATGCGTCTCATCCTGGGCCGACTCTAAGTCTCCATCAAGGATTTGAACTGAGTGGTTCTCACTCGTAGATATGTTACTATTGGAATTATTCCCAAGTGCCAAAACATATGGGGAACAGTCCTCGTTGAGAAGAAATGGCTGGGCGATCATTGGACTCACAAATGCTCCCAATCCGTAGAAAAAGTGTAACGCCTGCAATTTGAAAGTCACAATAGTGTGTTTATTCTTGTATATGCAATTGTATGACAGGTTGATCATGGAGTTGGCCTTAATCATATCACCTCTTCTCACACCCCATTCTCAAACGGTTGTACGATGTGCTTTTGGCGCCAAGTTGGTAAGTATATATCTACATGTGCCAGGTCGTTCAATAAATTCACGGAAAATGCTCCCATTTAAAAGATTTTTGATATTTTCTCGTGAAATGTTCACATTTTGTAAAAATATTTTGTTATTAATTCCCAAAATATCAGCATCTCTAATTTGATTGGTCAAAATAATGGTTACTGTGGTAATTCCCAAAATATCAGCATCTCTAATTTGATTGGTCAAAATAATGGTTACTGTGGTAACTCGACTTTTGAGAAGGCGGGGTACTCCCGGGCCATCTTAACAGTTGAACTATGATACTTGGCGAATCAATGTAACTCTGGATAAGCTTTAAAATATGACGACACTGGTATATGTCTATGGTGTTTAAACTGCTTCTTTATTCGGTACATTAAATATTCCATAAATACCAAATGAAACAAACAATTTACCAAAGTTTTACCCAATCTATCGAATTTTTTTTATTTTATCGAATGTGATAATCTATACAATATATATTCGCTAAAAAGTTTCACTTATTCTTTGTGTTGGGATTCATATTTGATATTTATACATGTATTTGTGCGATGCAGCGAATCAATTTGTTTTCCTTAACGCACATATAATTCAATTAATTATTTGTACATTCGGTATTTAAATTTTTATATTCGGTAAATACCGAATGCCACATTCGATAAATTTCGTTATTTGTCGATACTTTACGAGATTTTCAGTCACGTGATATATTGGAACGATGTAGAATAGCTCCGCGACCATTTTGCAAATCTCGAGGTCACGTGACAAAATATCGAACAACAACGAAAGTTATCGAATATTACTTTATTGCATTCGGTAAATAGCAAATTAGATTTCGGTAAAATGCATTAACTATGTCATAGAAAAATAAACCATTTGGTAAATATAGGCAAACTTATTTCGGTAGGGTTCAAATAGAAATTCAATATTTTGCATATAATGCGTTTCTCTTAAGGAATACCATAACAATTTACGCAAAAAACATATCATTTAGCGAATGAAATGTGTAATTTAATGCACATAGTATTAAGTGATTGGCTATTTTGAAAACTTAATTTGCTGTAACAAACATATAAACGTTTCACCGAATGGAAAAATGATTTAGCGAACATAAATATTTCATGTATCGAATATATTTGATTTTAATGAATAAAGAAGCAAAAATAATGCCATATATGTCTGCCTGTGGGGGGCATACTTTCGGGACACCTGTACATTTAATTTTTCGCTCATTTCATATTCAACATGCTCATAAAAGTGGCCTTTAACTACTAGTATGCTATACCATTGGAAAGTCAATTTGCGTGACAACATAATGATGTTGCTTACGTTGTACATACTGAAAATACTGTATGGTTATTGAAATCAGATTCACGATATAAACTGCACAATTTCATATTTCCTTTCACAAATGTTGCAGAAATAGAAATATTCATTCTGATACTCATCCCCGGGTATACTGTTCATCACATGTTTCTGCCTTCAACTAGAAATATGCTCTGATTTAGTTGGTTACCATTTGTGATCTAGTATCATCAGATGGGTGGGGTAAGTGTGATGTTATCATGTATTTATTGCCTTTAATGTTGAACGTTACATAATATTGTAGTGTCACTGTCATCAAATTGTAACAACTAATTTAGTTTTATGACCCCATAAGGCTAAGATAAAGATGTCCATCAAGATTTTCAAATCATATAAAACGATCTTATTGGTCAGCTTGACCTCTGTATTGTATTGCATTGTATATTTATTTACCTTAATCACTAGAGAGTTACAATTGTAATTGATTTGATTAGTCAGCATCATTTTCAAGAAAATTGTAGAAGGCTAGATTGAAAGGAAGCTCTAAATGTCTTCTACACTGCGCGCAGAGTCTAGTAAACTACGAATACGAAGCTCTCTTTTAAGAAGTCGAACGAATACAAAGGGTAACGTTCTTCTAGAAAGAAGCTAATAGAAGGCCATGATTTCTCATGATGGGTTTTATTGGTCAACCCTGTAACTAATAATAATACAGAAATCAAAGCAAGTTTGTTAGCCTTACCATTTTATGTTAATTGTATGTAATTTATTCCAGAACAGTTTTATAGCTTGTGAATATATAACAATAAATAAAAATCTAATTTTATGTTGGATGAATATTCATTAGTTTTTAAATGGCATATTAACCATTAATCAAACCAGATAAGCCCATCAATATATTCTGTGTACTACACCACAAGGTAGAATACAAATTAAACTGATGTCTATAAACTAGACATGGAATAATGTAGGAACTGCATCTGATATGTATAAAATAAAAAATATAAAACGAAATACTATACAATTTAACATGCATTAGTAAATTGGCATCTGATTTGTCCATGGTTAGATGGGATTTTTTCATTCTTTTAGGAATGGGTAGCTGGTTGATTGTAATGCGATTCTTCAATCATTTTAATAACTGAGTACAATACACTATTTTGTGAATCAATTGCTCGTTTCGAATGTTCTTAATTTCCTGGTTTGTGTCTTATGAGTCCCAGTTTAAACATGCTATCAACTGATTTGAAAAAAGGATATGTCAACTATATAAATATGGCAACGCTGGTATTTGAAAATGCATGACAACAAACATAATAATTACAATTCAGTATTGATCTAGGCAAATATTGAATATAAGTTTGATGAACATTTTCCAAGGTCTAAAATTGAATTGAAATGTCTAATAATTAGATGTGAATATAGATAACCCTTCAACATCAAATAATGTAATTGTAGCAGACAAGTGATCGATTTGGATCACTATTCTTGCTGTTTTAATTTGCCGGTGTTATATTGGTAGATTTATGTTGGGTTAACATGTCCTACAATTATTGTTGCTGTTGATGTGGATCTTTATACCACGAATGGTATGTTTTGCAACAATAAAATGGACACCAACTACACCCCCTACATACCACCAATAATATGTTTTGCAACAATAGAATGGACACCAATTACACCCCCTACATACCACCAATGATACGTTTTGCAACAATAGAATGGACACCAACTACATGAAACCAATGATATGTTTTTCAACAATAGAGTGGACACTAACTACACCCCCTACATACCACCAATGATACGTTTTGCAACAATAGAATGGACACCAACTACATCCCTACAAACCACCAATGATACGTTTTGCAACAATAGAATGGACACCAACTACATGAAACCAACGGTATGTTTTGCAACAATAGAGTGGACACCAACTACACCCCGCCCCCCCCCCCCCCCCTACATACCACCAATGATATGTTTTGCAACAATAGAGTGGACACCAACTACACCCCGCCCCCCCCTACATACCACCAATGATATGTTTTGCAACAATAGTGTGGACACCAACTACACCCCGCCCCCCCCTACATACCACCAATGATATGTTTTGCAACAATAGAGTGGACACCAACTACACCCCGCCCCCCCTACATACCACCAATGATATGTTTTGCAACAATAGTGTGGACACCAACTACACCCCGCCCCCCCTACATACCACCAATGATATGTTTTGCAACAATAGTGTGGACACCAACTACACCCCCTACATACCACCAATGATATGTTTTGCAACAATAGTGTGGACACCAACTACACCCCGCCCCCCCTACATACCACCAATGATATGTTTTGCAACAATAGAGTGGACACCAACTACACCCCGCCCCCCCTACATACCACCAATGATATGTTTTGCAACAATAGTGTGGACACCAACTACACCCCGCCCCCCCTACATACCACCAATGATATGTTTTGCAACAATAGAGTGGACACCAACTACACCCCGCCCCCCCCCCCCCCTACATACCACCAATGATATGTTTTGCAACAATAGAGTGGACACTAACTACACCCCCTAAATACCACCACTAGTATAGAGAAACTAAGTCCCCCCCCTTACATACCACCAGCTAAGGATTTTCGCAAAAATTGTCTTGTATGATTCACAGGTTCAAGTATTACTTTACTGCCTTCAAATGGGAAGTTCGCTAGCTTCAAAGCATGTAAGAAATAAACCTAAATTATTGATAGGAATTAGATCCTGCTATAACTCAACACCTATATGTACTATTTATAAATCAAAACCTTAAATTATTTAGCAAGGGTTCTGAAAACAAACTAAATAATTCATCTTTGAGTCTGTGATCCCTAGAAGAAATCCATACAGATAGCGAACTCTAAGGTCACATGATGAACGAACCAATAAAGACATCGAAAATCAAGGATAGATAAAATATAAACAATCATACAAGGAATATCTATAGATAATCATCTTTTCTGGTTGCAGAGTTGCTGTTTTTGGCAAAGTTTTGTTAAGCAAAAACGGATCGGAAATTATAGGCTACCGCTGAATTATAGACTTATTTGCTATCTATTCATGATGTTTGTAACATTTCAATCAATTTTTTCCATTCGGCAAATTGAAATCCATCATTTCTTTCCGTGTATTTCAGTGAAAGATTGTAATAAGCAATTCTAATTGTTTGTAGAAAAACGGTTTGTATAAAAGTGTGACAGGTGCCTATATAAATGTCAACCTAAATCTACAAGCAAGCCCAGTCAGCATTAATTAATGAAACGGTTAATAGGGAGAAAATATCTAAGGAAATGATATAATACTGTATTCCCAATTTATATCGAGAACTGTCAACACCAGGTGATAAAGACGCGTTCAGTATTTTCGTCTGGTACGCAAACCTCCATTTTTAATACAGAGAGAATTAGGTGCACTTTTACTCGGTAGCCTGTGATCGTTTAAACTTTTACAGTTTGTCCTTACCTAAAACAGGCTCATTAGATTCCCAGTACCT